GAGCAGTGCACATTCCGATTACTGGTACAGTACCGCCATCGGCAACACGTATTGCCTGCGTCGTAAATGGCGTCATAATCTTTTCTAAGCGGCAGCGTAGAGATGCGCTCATAATAGACAGGTGCGCACCTGTGTCAATGAGGGCGGTCACAGGAACATGGTCGACTTGTACTTCAAGCAGGCTATGGTGCGTGGGAAGCGTCAGTAGAGGATTTTCGGTCGTCATTGGTATTGCAGCTTCACCTCTATAAGCTGCAATATCTAGTTTTCCTGCTGCGGTCGTCCAGAGAAGCTCGGCGAGGAAAAGCGCCGAGGTGGCGGAGAGCGGGATTGGCAACGTAGCGGCAACGGGGAGCGAGAGCTGCGGCGACCGGACGAAGGGGCGTCAGGGTAGCGGCGACCGGGCAAAGGGGCATCAGTGGAAGGCTCGTAAGATGACGACGAATAGAAATTGAAGGGTGTGGCGTCTGAACGTCGAGGGCTCGTCGGATGCATGAGCGCCGAGGTAGAGAAAGTCTGACGTGGTTGGTTTGACCAACGGCGGCGGCAATAGCGAGAAACGTGCCCAGGCTGGTGGCAGGAAAAACAAATAGGTCGGTCGTCGGGTGTTCGCCATTCCGAAGGGTTACGGAAGGGCATTGTTGGAGGTGAACGGCGAGCGTGTCCTCGGGAGTAGGACGGGACTTCAGGGCGAGTCAGGGGACATGCTGAGGGAAGTCCGAGGTTCGCAAACTCCTGCCTCACCACAGCTTGTATTAACGCCACTGACGGCTGTTGTTGGTCAGAGGCGAGCGTTGCGAAAACGGGTGGCTGAAGAGGAGCCGGACAGGCGGCTTCAATTTCCGACGAACATACGTGTGACGTTGTCATACGTGGGGGACTGGCGGGCGGCTTCACACGATGAGGTCGCGGCCGTGTTGGGCAGCCGGGTGAATCGCTGAGTAATACGGCGGCTCTTGGCTTCTTCGAACCGCCGGCACTCTTTAATGATGGCGTCGACGGTGGCAACGTTGTTGTAAACTAGTAGATTAAATGCGTCGTCTGCTATGCCTTTCAGCACATGGGCCACTTTCTCCGACTCACTCATGTGCTCGTCAATCTGGCGTCAAACGGCGATGACGTCGTGAATGTACGCGACGTACGACTCCGTCGACGTCTGTGCACGGGCCGTCAGTTGATTTCGCGCTGCGATCTGCCGCCCAATGGTGTCGCCAAAAAGGTCGCGGATCTTTTCTTTAAAGGAGTCCCAGCTCGTAATCTCCGCTTCGTGCGTCTCGAACCACACGCGCGGTGGGCCATCGAGGTAAAAAAGCACATTGGCAAGCATAAGAGTCGGGTCCCACCAATAGCTTGCGCTGACCCGTTCGTACCGGTTTATCCATTTGTCGACGTCAACGCCATCCTGACCGGAAAATACACCGGGATCACGAGCAGGAGGTAGAACGACGTATGTAGAAGTCACGGTAGGGGCAGGTGGCAAAGACGATGGTTGTTCAACCTGTGACATGGTTGGACCTATGATGATGCGGCCGTTGCGGAGCTTCGTGATGAAGACGGGGAAGTACCCAGCACGTCCACCACAAAGATGTTACGTAAAAATGACACAAGGTGTGTCTATTTAAAATCTATATTCAAAATGATGCGTATGGCGTCGACTAAGATGGAAGCAGCACGCGCAACCGACAGACCACTTTCTCGTTGTCGTCTTTTCACCGCTGATACGTCAGCTACGTAGCAATATCTTCAAACGCCTAGTTTCGTGTGTACCTTCACGTAACAATACGTAACATTTTAAAATTTATTAGACTTAGAGCATATAAGCAGTCATAACAAGCTTTTAAGCTTAAAAATGGTTAATCAATTTGAGAATATGTTCATTTAAAGAGGCCCTGCAACATTTTTTCAAGTAGCCATAGAATGGATTCACTAAAGTTATTGCCTCACGAATTCACGGCTGCAACATTTTTAGAATCCGTCCAGTATGAGTATAGTTGCTAAAATTTATCCCACGCTGCAATTGCATTCTCTCTTTTCGTTCCAGCAAAAGCATTGGAAGCTAAGCAGGGAGGAATGGCATGGGAAAGAAAATACGCCGCGTACGCTTTGCAACTCTTGAGCATTTTCTTTGTGTTTCTTTTTGTGTGTGTGGGATCGTGCACGTACACATGTATAAGAGACAGCCTCTAGAGGTGACCCCACTAATGACCAAGCGCGCCATGCTCAAATCAGCCAATGGCTGATACAACGGCTGTGACGAGCTATTTTTGAGCTTGTGGTGTCAAGAGAGCAGTTTTTAGCTAACTTTGAGAATTTATTGTAAATCATAGGCCATGTGCTGCGCTATAATATTTGGCTCGCGTGTTCTCAGTAGCCTCGACCACTGTTCGGCCGCGTTTTCTGACCGTACTCAAAAAGTGTTGCAGGGCCCCTTTAAATTTGAAGTAAAGCTTCGCAGCAAAGCAAATTTCCCCTAGACACATGCTTTCACGGCTTAGCACGTTTACACTGCAGTGAAAACATCTTTACAATTGGTTACATGCGAATTAATATACACCTATACGTTCATTGGGAATACTTCAAAATTTTCAATAATTTAAATTTGAATCAAAGTCAATTCTAATGCTCTACTATTCATTTGAATATTCAAAGCATTCGAATATTCGCACAAGCCCACTTTTTATATACATTCTAGGCAATATATTTGCCCTTGATATCTCATAGATGTTCTGTATGTCTCTACATAAATCTTGCTCATTATCTCACCTCCGAAATTGTGTCAGCACTCCTTTACTGTGCAATTAAATCTTTATAGCTATAAGCTACAACGCATTTAAACAAAACCTGTACTCTGCATTCCATGAGATAAACATCACATGCAAACGCTCACACATTGTGAAGTTACAGCTTACAACAAAATAATATCATTACTGTAGCACGCAACAAGCCATGCTTAAAGAGCCTCATTGCATCATCATCCTACCTGTGCACAAAATGTCTACAGGTATTAAGTGCTTTAAACACAGACATAGCAGTCCCATACTCTAAGGAAGCTTTTGTTATATGATTACAATAGAAGCTTTATAAACAAATACCAAGGACCTTCTATTTATTTTTATTATTCAATCTGTATAGACAAAACATATGATTTCAAGCAATTGTATAGAGGCCTATGATAAATGAATGCACTAGCACACCATTTTTGCCAGCAACAGCAACCTCAGGTTTTCTCATGCTTCACACAATGAAATAACATCGTTTCTGCTCATACACACACCTTAACCATGATAGTACTAATCTGTCTTTGATAAACATTACCAGATACAAAGACACTTAGCAATAAAGACATACTGGCTATTTCTGAAAGCCATCACCACCATATTCTTTCATACATTAAAAGGCCCTTCAAAATTTTGCCCACATTTCAGCTCCCCCCGTCTAAACACAACCTCCACATTACATGAATAGACACACCGTCCTAGATCTCATCTAAGAGTTAGTCCTAGTACACCAAAAGATGCAGAGAAATTAGCTTGCTCACTGAGACACAGATGCCAATCAGCACTACTGAGTGGCCCATTTTGTATCGTTCAAGAACAGTTCCCTCTGAGCACAGAGAACAGCCTCAATTTAGACTGAGGGATGCGCAACAGCTGACATGTATCCTTCCCGTACCTCCTCCCTGCATTCAATTGCCACGTTTCCTTCACCTGCAAAGCCCAAATATCGTAAAAACCGGAATACAGGTCAATTTTTTTTTAACGCAATAAAAAGTTGACCCTTGTCTTATATACCAGCCACTAGCAGAAAAATATGTGGAAATCTCGCAACAATGGACAGCTGAAGTTGAATGCCTCCATTGCCATCATGAGCATCGGCAGCTCACGCTGCTGATGCGTTGGGCAAGGCTAGGCAAGGCCTACAGTGTTCTAGCAATGCTATTTTGCCTCGCTTATCTGCTTTCAGTCTGCTGTTCTTATTCTATTTCCATCAGAAATGAGTGGTAGTCGACGGCAGTTTACAACAGACTTCAAGAAAAAAAGTTATCGAGTATGCCAAAGTGCATGGCAACCTGGCGGCACAAAGGGAATTCGGTGCGTCGGAGAAAGCGTCCGATACTGGAGGAGCCAAAAGCAGCGCATCACATCCTGCAGTAACAAAAAAAAACGTTCGTGGACGGAGCGCAGTGCACCCCTAACTAGAAACGTTACTCGTCAAATTCCCCCAGGAGCTGCGTCCAAGGTCGCTACCCCTAACAGCGGAGTGCATTCGCGTAAAAGCTCTCGAGATAGCGCGCGGCTCTGGCCTCACGAGGATGCAATTGAAGGGATCGCCATCGCAGGTGCACCGATTTACGAAGCGGAAGGGCTTTGCGCTGAGGCGGCCTACTTCCATTCTTCTGCAAATGCTGCATCAGTTACGCATTGGATGGGATGGAGGACAATGCACTCTGGGGCGCTGCTAGTGAAAAACAGTTGTCGGGCTTAAGTTCGAAAAAGTCTGAGTGACAGCACATTTCGGCCTTCTGACATTTGGCTTTATGTACATAAGATTAGTGTCCAAATAAAAATAAATGCCACCACAGTGCAGCTGGTTGTGTCACGTATTTACCAAGGTAAGGGTGCGCCCTGATACTATGAGATTTTTAAAAATTTCTTTATTCGGAGATTAAATGTTTGGGGGGTCGACCTATATTCCGGTTCGACCTACATTTCGGTTTTTACAGTACTTGCACGGGCCAACAACACAGTGACCCACCGAGGGCCACCAGAGCCACCCATCTGCCAAGTGTACAGCAACTACCGAAACATCATCGTCTCTTACTAAACACACCGTGAACCAATTCCTCACAGTACTTCCTCCATCCTACTCCTTCTCCCCATTGCCTTCAGCAGCTCCTACTCATAGTTCAGCTAGACCACTTCACCGCAACACTTCTGCTACTTGGGTCTTGTAAACGCACACACATATGTTCAATATTACAAGGAGAGAACATTGCATACCTGCTTCTTGTCTATAGAGTCAAAACCAGCAATCTTGTTCCCCTTGGTATCAATCAGGCTGCCCATTGGTTCACAGGCGGTCACTTGACACTGCTGCTTAGTGAGGGGCAAAAGCTGGTGCACCATATTCATGGACTCCGAGCGCCTGTTTAACAAATCTTTCTGTAATGTAAGGTAAGCCAGCACTTTAGTAAACCCATGCACCTATCAAATAAAATAGACAAGTGTGCCTTGTATTCCTAAACAGTGCTTGGGGAGACACTATTTTATACTAAGATAATTAAAAGTGCCTCAACATGCACAATCGATTGATATGCAGGGTTTAACGTCCCAAAACCACCATATGATTATGAGAGACGCCGTAGTGGAGGGCTCCGGAAATTTTGACCAACCGGGGTTATTTAACGTGCACCTAAATTTGAGCACACGGGCCTCAGCATTTTCGCTTCCATCGGAAATGCAGCCGCCGCAGCCGGGATTCGATCACGTGACCTGCAGGTCAGCAGCTGAGTACCTTAGCCACTAGACCACCGCGGCGGGGCACAACATGCACAATCTTCCCTCGGGTAAAATCCACTGATCAGCTGGACTCCACTCCATACTCGCTCTCCTCTGCCAGACTGCACAGCCGAAGCACAGGCTAGCACTCCAGCTTTTTTGTGCACACAAGAGACACTTAAGAGACAAATGCATGTAAGAGGCACCAGTGTGCCTGAACCGAAAGAGAGGTTGATTAGAAAATGAGCACATCATGCCCTGTTTATAAGAGACCTCATGTAGAGACAAGAACTGCTCCCCCCTGTGCATGTCTCTTACAAAGAGGTTCAAATGTATAGCAAATGTGCTATATGCACAACAGTTTACATGCAGCTGCATCTCCTGTGTAGGGTAGATACCACCACCTCCATGGAGTGCTACCACAAGTGCACTTCCTAGCTGCATGCCATGGAAACTGCATGCTCCGACTGATTTTATGGGGTGGTGTACACTCGATCACATAATGATGCGACGCCAGCAATGTAGCTCAAGCTCCATCTCAGATGAAGAAAACATTGCCTGAAACCTGAAGTAGTAGTCAGGGAGTTAGAAAAGAGGAACAAAACAAATGGTCTAGGTCGTAGATGCCTGCCAATTTGATGGCGGGCCTTTGACACTGTGCCATTCCACCCTGTATAGCTACCAGCTCACTAAAAAAAAAAAAACTGCTCGAGTTTTACAAGCCCAAATCGTGACATCATTACGAGGCCCACCATAGTAGGTGACTGCTGATTAATATCCACCACCTGAGGTTCTTCAATGTGCCCCTAAATCTGAGCACATAGGTATTCTTTGCATTTTGCCCCCACATAGATGCAGCCATTGTGGCAAAAAAAAAAAAAAAAATCAAACTCACACTCTTAAGTTTAGCAGTACGGCAATGTTATTCCAACACGGTGAGGTAGCTTCCAGAAGAATAGTGAACACAAAAGGAGAAAAAGAAGTCATGGAAAGAAAGGAAAGAGCATTGATGCTGTTTCCTTTCACCTCTTCTTCCCTGGTGGTTTGTGTGGCCTAATTTTCTTGTAACATGTTTTCTTGTAACATGATTTTTGTAACATAACAAGTTTTAGTAAAGTCGAGTCATTTTATGAACACTTATAAAAGTGTATGGGGGCCCCATTATACTGAAATTTAGGCTTGAGTCAAAATTAAATACGTGATTTGAAATATTTAGATAAGTATCACCACATTCATTTTTATTGAACATAAGCTTTAGTATTAGAAGTTCTCAAAGTATTGCGATTGAACAATAAGCATTTTCCATCTTAAGGTATGATTTCATGGTAATGCGGCCCACACTCCTGTAACTACAGTCGAGCCCACATATAACGGCCCACTTAAAACGAACTTTCGCTTAAAACGAACATATCCGCGTGACCGTGAAAATATACATTGGTTCAATGGCACAAAATCGCACTTACAACGAATGTCTCCGAGCGCCGCTGATCGGTTACAGCGAACGAGTCCGCGGTCTGCCGACTTCCCGGGAAACCAATTTCGACCACCGATCAGGCATCGGCGAAGTGCCCATACATTCTTATTGTTAAACGCCGACCCTGCCTCCGCGCCCCCTCTAGTTGCCGCTCTCCCCGACCGCTTTTTGTTACGCACCTCTCCGTCCTTTGTCCCTCCGCTACTCTGAGTACCCCGCATTGCCAGACGAGGCCCGTGTTTTCACACTTCCACCAATCTTCGAAGACGGGTCGGCCATCTACCCTTTTTTGATCGCTGGTACTGTCGTTGGCGTCGCCGGCCTGAAGTGACCAGACCATTTGCCAACATCGTCGGCCACGGACTGTATCCTATAGTCTGCGTCTCGTGCACGCGTGTACGCTACCCCCGCCGACTCTGATCATTTGTGATTCGTTTCATGTTTAGAACTTATTCTCGCTCACTTCGCACTACACTCAACATGCCTTCCACGCACGTGCGGAAGCGCGAAAACAGCTGTTAATTTGCGTGGAACGAATCGCGAAATATCGAAGTTCGTGAGGCCACGCAAACCCGCCAGCGCAACAAAACGATTTTTTTACCACGGCCGCCGATTCTTCGAACACCACCGAGCGCACCGATTCAGGCGGCCATGCACTCTTTCCAAGTTTTTCTACGTACGAGTTTCGCGGACCTTTCAAACAAGCTACCCAACCTGCCTCCTTCCCATGTGTTTTGGTTTTCAAGGTCACTCTCCCGCCGCATCCTCGCCTCTCTTTATCGCAACTCCTTGCCCTTCTCTCGCAAGTCTGCTCTCCTCTTTTGATCACAACCCCTTCGCTCGTCTTCACCGCTCCACGACGCCCGCCACGCTGGCTCGAATTAGTTTCGTTTTCTGACAGGAAATGGGCCCAGAGCTGTTCCACGCATTCTGGCATGTGTGTCGCGTGTGCGCGTCTTGCTCACATCTTAGTGTTGCGTGTGTGGTCATGATGGCCAACGGGAGGACTAGCACGCTTTTTCCTGCCGCTCAACAAAACGTCGAAAGTGTGACCGCTTGGCTTAAGTGTAATTTGCGCGTTAGATGTCGTGTTGCGGAGCGCTTGGTCATAGCTGTTGACCACCTGGCAGTCAACTTGCCGCTTCGGGCGTCCCCGGTCTTCAGCTGTGTAGACTAGATGGCGAATATTTCGTGGGCGGCGGTGACGGCTACATGCGCGCGAAACTGTTTTTTGCGAGGCCGACTTCGTCGACGTCGGGCCCAATGCCGAGCCTGGAGCTTCCGAACAGGACCACTGCGGCGACGATTTGTGGCAGCGCGTCGTCGACTCCGACTTGGGAGAGCGGGTGGGACACCTGTTGTGATGGTTTAATTACGGCCGATGATGCCGACACTGCGGAACTGTGCCCGGATTTGGGCATAGTGAATGAAGTATGTGGCCGAGAGCGATTTGTAGGAATCGGATTGCGAGAACAACGAAACTTTCGAGCCAGTGCCTCATGCAGCTTATGCCACGGGCCTCGGCGAACGAGCACCCTGCCGTTTTAGATGAACTCGAGACCGCCCTTATCGCTTTTGTTCTTCAAAACACGTGCATCACGGACTTTTTGAGGCAAAAAAAAAGTGTGTTTTCACTCGCAAATTTTTTTAAAAGCTGTGTTTCATTTACTACGAACTTCAGGATACAGCGAACGGATGCCCCGTCACGCTCAGGTTCGTTATAAGCGGGCTCGACTGTACACGCTTGAGGCGGAATTCTTACCACTGTAGAGCACAAGTCAAAGTGGGCTATGCATAGCACTTGCACAGTGGTTTAAGATTTCTGAAATTTTTTTAGTGCAGGTTACATATAAACACTCTGTAAATTTTGAAGTGAAGCACATTTTAACGTGTCTACTATTCCTTACCCCCCATTTTCAAAGTCTGAAAAAGTAAATTTGTTCATACCTGTTCAGGAATCAACGGTATGTTGTTGAACTTTAGTCATTGTGCATGGCTAAATTTTTCAGATAGATGCAAATAAACAAAGCACAGTGTGGCGCCACTGTATGGTAATCATAAACATGACCAGGAATGCTGATGTCACAAGATAGATGTATGTCATCAGCTACCTTTATCTTCTTCACTAGGTTGAGATACTGCTTGCGAGTCTCTTCCCCGGACACACTGTCGGCATTCTGGGTTACGTGGATGAGTGCTGCCAACATGTCAAGGACCGTAGTGAACAGCTCACTGTGGAAAAGGCAAACAAAAAGGATGTTCTAATCATCAAAAAGTTAAACAGCAGAATAATTATAATAGCAGTAACAAGTACAGCAAGCGGTACTACACTCGTGAAGCATGCACTAAGACTATGCCGATAGAGGATTTCCCGGAAAATACTGGTACAAGCTCTTCAGAGGGATACTGAACATAACTTTTTGCCCCCAAGATGTTAAGCCCAAATGAAACCTTGAGAGCCGGATTTGTTAACACAACCTTGTTTTCCTGCGAAGCTAACAGGACAATAACAAATTTAATGTGTTTTTTACAAACTAGAGCAAAACCTTGTTAACTCGAAGCCACTGGGGCCGCAAGAAAGCTTCAAATTAAGCAGGTTTTGAATTAACAGAACATACAAAAGTGGGATGCAAGGAACTTAGAACTGTTCAAAGTAATCAGTGCTAATCGTTTACTGTGCCGGCTAGCTTGCAGCTCCAAGGGTCATGTTTTGCAGAAATACCTGGTCTTAATTTGGTGGAAAACACAGGGGGGAACGGTGGACCTCACTGCTGCCACCGCAAAAAAAAAAAGAAACAAACGCTGTCGTGATGAACTGAAAAATGCACCTGCGAAAAACAAGACATCTTCACTGCCACACTGTAGTGACACCGGGCAGCATGTCACCTACACCTCGCTGCATCAACAGATCATTATGCGACCATTCGCACATTCTTTCTGGTATATTAGGAATTTAATAATGGCCAGCATGATGAAACTCGCAATGTGTTTTGGCTGCAAAAAAGTTTTCTTTGAAACTTTCGAACTTAGTTTTCGTATTAGGTGTTGCTGGCAAGAACTCTGCCAGCAGTGCAAAGGCGCGAATTGCTAAAGCAACCAGCAATCGGAGGTTCGCATACATTGCGAATTCTGCCAAACTGTGCTTTATTAATTTTTTTACAATCCCAGAATGGGTGAACCATGACCCATTGACGTTGCTAGAAACATGCAATATGCTGCCCACGCGTCATCGCTGTATTGCAGTGAAGCAAGTCTAATTTTCAGCAGGCACACGTTTTGGTTGACCATGAGGCTGTTTTTTTTGTGTTGTTGTTATTGTACTTTTTGCGCTGTAAGTAGCGAGGTTGAAGTTCTTCAGCTACCACTTATTAGTATTGCTACATTCGATTGCCTTGTGGCTATTAAAGGTCGTCGCTTCCTCGGATTTGCGGCAAAATCGGGATCTGGAACTGGCACATGGCACCCAAAGTTTTCGAATTAACCAGACTGGCGCCAGCCGCCGCTTCAAATTTTCCACTCAGACTTACATTGCAAAATACAGACCACGAAACTCCTTCAAATTAAGCAGGTTTTCGAAATAACCGAGTTCAAATTAACGAGATTTCACTGTATTCACCTAGTGGCCATACCACACACTAAAAGAAGTGACATTGTCTTTGCTGGAGACCAACATGCCAACCATGATCATGGCTGCGGACACACATCTGGCGCTCACACCATCAAAAAGCTTGACCCATCATGCACTCATGCTGCTCCACACTCCAAATCATCGTATAATACAGCTGCCTGTTAAAACAATATCTGAAATAGGCCCTGTTATTGAAGCAGTCAAGTATTCAGAGTCAAATTCTGATGCTTTTCTAGATTTCTCGATATCACGGGGTTGCAGACTATTTAGATACAACCTGAAAACATGCATCAACAGAATGCCACTACTAAAGCCAATAATGTGTGCTATGGCGGTCGGCTAACAAAAAAAATTCACTGCTTTGATATCAATATCACTGCATATAAGGTTTCACCACCAATGCTATGCACATTTAGAACTAATTGGTAGGGGTGTGTGAAGATTTGCTTTTAAATTCAGATTGAACAATACCTAATCAAACAATTCTATTCGACATTTGAATAGCTCCAATTGAAACTTTCGAATGATTTGACAGGACGAATACGTACGACGCAACTAAGGCCAAAGGTGCGACTTGGTTTGGTGGGGTGGCTAAAACTAATCCTAATGTTATTACAGTAGGCCTTTCGTTAAAACTTTCACTGATATCCTGGTTCGAAAGTGCCTTGCATCGCAAAAATCCCCTAATCATCTATCATCATGGCTCAAAAGTGAGCTTATGCCTTTTTTTAAAAGAGATTGTCTCATATCCACACATTATTGCCCCAGCGATGAAAGGCCATGAGTAGTCTGGGAGACTACCAGACTACAAGGGTAGAAAAATAGTCAGCACACTGATCTCAGACTCAGACGTTACAGTGAAGAAGCTCAGAAATACTTCGATGATCCTGTGATACCAAGAAAGGGTTATTCTTTGAAATACTGGAAAAAGCATGAACGTGCCCTTCATCCCGGTATAGCCAAGATAACTTTGCAAAACCTTCCAGTCCCTGCCACTAAAGTGCCCAGTGAGCGCATGTTTTAAACTGCAGGAAACACCATAACATCACGGTGAGAGAGCCTGTAGCTAGGTCGTGTAAAACAGCTTGCATTTCTGCTCGACAATTTGCAGTCTTTTGGTAGCAGTCACTCAAGGCTTTATGACCTCAGAGACATAACCAGATTTCGTTTTCTTGGTCTTTCAATATTCGATAAAATTTTGTATCATCATCATCATCATCATTATCATCAGCCTCACTACGTCCACTGCAGGACAAAGGCCTCTCCCATGTTCCGCCAGTTAACCCGGTCCTGTGCTTGCTGCTGCCAATTTATACCCGCAAACTTCTTAATCTCATCTGCCCACCTAACCTTCTGTCTCCCCCTAACCCGCTTGCCTTCTCTGGGAATTCAGTCAGTTACCCTTAATGAGCAGCGATTATCCTGTTTACGCGCTACATGCCCGGCCCATGTCTTTTTCCTCTTCTTGATTTCAACTATGATATCCTTAACACCCGTTTGTTCCCTAATCCACTCTGCCCTCTTCTTGTCTCTTAAGGTTACACCTACCATTTTTCTTTCCATTGCTTGCTGCGTCGTCCTCAATTTAAGCTGAACCCTCTTTGTATGTCTCCAAGTTTCTGCTCCGTAGCTAAGTACCGGCAAGATACAGCTGTTATATACCTTCCTCTTGAAAGATAGTGGAAATCTACCTGTCATAATTCAAGAGTGCTTGCCAAATGCGCTCCACCCCATTCTTATTCTTCTAGTTACTTCAATCGCGTGGTTCGGCTTCGCGGTTATTACCTGCCCTAAGTAGACATAGTCTTTTACAATTTGAAGTGCACTATTACCTATCTCGAAGCGCTGCTCTTTTCCGAGGTTGTTGTACATTACTTTCGTTTTCTGCAGATTAATTTTAAGACCCACCTTTCTGCTCTCCTTGTCTAACTCCGTAATCATGAGTTGCAATTCGTCCCCTGAGTTACACAGCAATGCAATGTCATCGGCGAAGCGCAAGTTACTAAGGTACTCTCCATTACCTCTTATCCCTAACTGTCCCCATTTAAGGCTTCTTAAAACCTCCTGTAAACACGAGTAAATAGCATTGGGGAGATTGTGTCCCCCTGCCTTACACCCTTCTTGATTGGTATTCTGTTGCTTTCTTTATGAAGCACTATGGTAGCAGTTGATCCCATGTAGACTTCTTCCAGGAAGTTTATATACTTCATCGACGCCCTGATTCCGCAGTGTCTGCATGACAGCTGATATTTATACTGAATCAAACGCCTTCTCGTAATCTATGAAGGCTATGCATAGTGGTTGGTTATATTCTGAGCATTTCTCTATTACCCGATTGATAGTATGAATGTGGTCGATTGTTGAGTAGCCTGCTCGAAATCCAGCTTGTTCCTTTGGTTGATTGAATTCTAATGTTTTCTTTACTCTGTTAGCAATTACCTTCGTAAATAGCTTGTATACTACAGAGAGCAAGCTGATCGGCCTGTAATTCTTCAAGTCCTTGTCATCTCCTTTCTTATGTATTAAGATGATGTTATCGTTCTTCCAAGACTCTGGTACTCTTCCCATCAGGAGACACCTCGTAAACAGGGTGGCTAGTTTTTCTAACACAATCTGTCCTCCATCTTTTAGCAGACCTGATGTTACCTGATTCTCACCAGCAGCTTTGCCTCTTTTCATGCTTTCCAAAGCTTTTCTGACTTCTTCTATCATTACTGGTGGGGTGCCATCTGGGTTACTGCCAATTCTTATAGTATTAAGGTCGTGGTTGTCCCGGCCACTGTACAGATCTCTGTAAAACTACTCCGCTAATTTAATATCCTATCCATATATCCAAAATTTTGTATATCGCTTCAATATTTGATATTTTTGCCACTATTTTGCCGTACTTCATTTGAATTCTATTTGAGACGAAATTTAACTATTGCCACACTCCGACAAACCGGTTCTGCGGAATCCCGCACGGTGGCGGAAGGGTTAAGAAAGGAAACATCACAGCTACTACATGTGGGTATCCATATGAGTTTTATAAGAAGCTTCATAAGAGTTTCACAGAAAGAAACCTTCTCAGTTGCCGAAACATTCGTCCTGGTCCGAGGATTAAACGCGGGGCCAAGGCCTTTTTCTGGGGAGGTCACACTGCTAATTGAGCTAACCAGGAAGCTAGCAACTGGCAGATCAAGCGCATTAACTGACAACTTGAAGCGCACGAACAAAGAATACTCCAAATTGGTCCTACAGACTCCTGCAATGTGGTCAAAGAGTTAAGAAAGGAAACATGAAAACCAACCATATGCAGCCCGAAGTCACAAAGAAACCTGGAGAAATTTATCAAAAAGAAAGTTCTCAATTGCCAGAAAATTCTTTCTGGTCCGAACTATTTTACGAACACATTTTTACATGCGTCCGGCACTGAACTCACAAGTTGCAGTGCATGTCCACAACCCCATGGTTGATAAGCTGCACAAGCAGCAGGGCCCAGTCGGTAGTGAGGCTGTTGTTGCGCTGTATCATGTCAAACATGCCACCCACAAGACTTAGTCTCAGCAGCAGTGCCTCGTTCAGTAGCAGCCGACTCTTCAAGTCCTCTGCTACAGGCTTCTCCTGCACAAGCCGAACAACATTTTCGGGTCAGAGCAACTGTGAGACAGATGCTGATAGGGAACCCTTTGCATAAAGATTACAACAGCCTGCATAATTAATGGTCTCTTAGCTCACTTTAATTGCCCTTTTGGTGCTACAGTACTATGCACACAAACATTTTCCTAAAACAAAATGTTCCCTGAATCCTCAAGAGGTCTGGGGTGCTACCAACACAACAAATAACTCTAGTGTCAGCGCCTAAAGCTCGTGCCATGCATATTTAACAAAGAATGGTCCTTAGGAAGAACAAAAAGTTCTCTTAGTTTGTGGGGATTCATCATGAGATAAGGTAAAGAGCACAACAAGGCTACAGGGGAGAAGGACCACAAAACATACCGTAATGTGCCTCTTTTCTCTTGCATCCTTGGTAATACAATTATACACAGTTTAGGCTGCATGTTCTCCATTGAACTGTAGTGCACAAAATGAAAAAAATGCAGAAGACAAGCAGAAAGGACAAGCTTATAACTTTCAAGTGACCTTACTGGTCACACACGGACATATAAATTCACAACACAAGAAAAGTTAACAAGGAAAAGATAAATATGAAAAGAAAAATAAGTAAAAAATAAAGACCAAGAAGGGTTTCCTTTTTTTTTTGTCTTTTCTGGTAACAGTGTCTCAACTGTATCATACTGCATTGTAAATCACTAATTAACCTTTTTTGATTCTATTACACTGCTACTAATGTGAGAGGAAACCTGGTAATCCAAAAAGGTACAAATAAAGGCAGGTAACTGTTTATCAGCAAAAATGAATTACACTGAAGAAGCCACAAACTGAAGCTTTGAAGTTAAGAAGTTTTTCAGAACGTCTCTGTGGCAAATAGCCCAAGTGTATGCCAATTTCTTTCGAATCCGTGGTATCACCCTCGTATCAACAGTGAATTGAGCATAAATTTAAAAGATAAGCAAGCTTAGTCCTCAGTTTTCTTCAGGTAAATTTCACTTCATGCTAGCAAAAACAAGGATGTGTAAAAGCATATCTTATCTAAACTGATTTAGTGTGCCTTTTCTTTTAATCTTTGCTTTACAGTGCACCCAAGGTGCAATATACCGTATTTACTCACGTAATCCTTACACTCGCATAATTCTCACACACCCCACATCGCCCAAGAAAAATAGGATTTTTTTTGCTCGAGTAATTATCGCACCCCCGAAACTGCCACAATAAGTCGTCTGCTCGTTCCAGCCACTGATGATAATAGCGCACACCATCTGGCGCCATCTCTTAAGCATCAAGCGTACTATTGCACGGAGATTCAATCCAATTCAAGCTAAGCCGAAGTGGCCAGTGCGCGTTGCGCCGTTTTGTTTGTTGTGTCGGTAATCTTGGGACGTTATGGGGCGATACTGAAGCTACACAGCTGCTTCAAGTTGCAAGTGATGGATCATGCACTAAACAATGGCAACAGGGCCACCGGTAGGCCGTTCGGAGTTACGAGTTTTGTGTTCGCTACTGGTGCCGGCAGCTGAAAGCACCAAGACGTGTTGGGTCTGCCGTGTGCCTAAAACTGGGATTGGTGGTAAACTTTATTCTTCAGAAGAAAATGCGGACGATTCTGTAAAATAGCCATCAGACCAATACTGACGTCCAAAGCTTACCTTTTGAGGGCTCCTGTTGAGCAATTGAACGCTACCGCTACGCCCGCAAACGCCCACAAGCTTTGAGTGTGGTATTCTAATTCTCGACAATTCGCTTCCGCTTTTGTGTCTCAAATAAATCTTGTCTTGTGTTGAACCACTGCTTTTATTGTTGAGGAAAGTTTTGAATTAGTACTTCTTGCCCCGCCGCGGTGGTCTAGTGGCTAAGGTACTCTCGGCTGCTGACCCGCAGGGCGCGGGTTCGAATCCCGGCTGCGGCGCGCTGCATTTCCGATGGGAGGCGAAATGTTGTAGGCCCTTGTGCTTCAGATTTGGGTTGCACGTTAAAGAACCCAGGTGGTCTAAATTTCCGGAGTCCTCCACTACGGCGTCTCTCATAATCATATGGTGGTTTTGGGACGTTAAACCCCACATATCAATCAATCAATTAGTACTTCTTAAAGCTTTCTGTAAGTTCCTGGTGTGAGAATCCCTATTTGCGGTCACTTCGTTTTGTCTTTCGCTCTTCACGTTTTCGTGGAAAGTTTTCCCCGCGTAATTCTTGCACCCCCCAACTTTGCACCGGTTTTCCGGCAAAAAAAAGTGCGAGGATGATGCGAGTAAATACGGTAGTTCAGGTGTTTTTGCACTCTCCTTTTACTCTTCAACTTTCATCAGAATGCAGTCAGCACAGCTACAAATTGAATTTGCACTCTAGCACTCGTAGCCCATGCTAAGGCGACTGAATTACTACGGCTTGTAAGAAGGACGAAGAAAAGCAGCTCAACTCACGGGGACACACTGCTAGAGCTGTGAGTGAAGAGAGTTGAGCAGGCCTTCCCGCTGTTCGTCCTGGCCCTTGAGGCACATGAGCACCAGTGACAGGAAGGCTGGTGGCTCAGTAGGGATGCACTGCAGATGCGGGCGGTGCTCCAACTTAACTACATACTAAGTGTGCCACAACACAAGCTCTGCTTCTAATCTGTGTATCCCCTTAACGTTGTGGGTTAATATTTGAAGGGTAAAAAATTTCAGAAGAAGCTAAGCCCCTGCAAGTAACGGTGCAGAAAATGACAGCTATAGCATTAAGGGACAGTAATGCTGCATTAAGGGTTGAGAGAAAATAGGCTAGCTGATAGTCCATTTAAAGCAAGGTCAAATTAACAAAAGCCGACAGCCAGTTGTCTGTTAAAGAGGCCCTGCAACACTTCTTTAGCATGGTCAGAAAAATGCTACAGACGGCTAGTCAAGGGTCCTGAGAACATGCCAGCCAGACATTTTTATAATTCATTCTCAGTCAGCCAAAAATTGCTCTCTCTTCTCTCTCTACAATAATGCCATATACCCAAATTACTGCAGTATAACTGTAGTTGACGGCTGTTGGCCGATTTGAGCAGTGTGAGCTGCATACCCCAGCGACCGCAAGACGCCGCCACATGTCCACACAAGCGCTCATGATCACGTCAAAAGTAAGCAGTGCGTTCGAAGAAAAAATAAAAAGGAAAGCGCTAAAGGTCATGATGCGAGCCGACAAAGGACCGCATTTTCTTGCCCCATTGTTATTCCCCTCTCTGCAGAGCTTTCAACACGCTTGTCGACACACAGGGAGAGAAAGAAAGCACTTATAGCATGCAACAAATCCCTGTTACTCTGCTTACATTTGACGGATTCTAAACATCTTTGCAGCAATCGATGCGTGAGGCAATAAGCTTTTTTTAATGAAGCCGCTGTACAATAACGTGGACAAGCCTAGCAGGGCCCCTTTTGAAGTAAGGTCATTAAACGAAGCTGAGAATCGCAGCAGAACAACATTTAAAAGCGCAAGGTGAAGTGGGCTGATGCGAGGAAGGTTGGAAGTCTTTGGAAAGAGACATTCAGCAGTGCGCATATAAACAGGAATCAATGATCATGATTCACAGAGACCCCACTGTGAAAGTCAGTTGATTGACACATCAGAAGCACCAATGAAAATATTTCATCTGTGGTTGCCTATCAACTTGTAAACAACACGCGTGTGAAGTACACAAATATGCAAATAGAAATGAAATTGTGACACTGGAATTATTCACTCAAGTATAAAGTTTATGCTAGAGTAGAATCAAGCAGTATTTTCCCTTAAACAAAACAAATGCCTCTAAATTAGTTGGTTTTGCATGTGGTTGCTGCACTCCTATAAATATTTTTAGAGGAGCCAAAGTCCTGTTCTTGAATGGAACATATTTTCGTGATCCCTCTAGTTTCATAGGGATTTCATTGTTCATAAACACTGTCCTTTTTTACAAAAGAGGACAAGTGAGCGCATGGCCTGCGCTCTGCCGCGGCTGCCTACGCACCACCAACCGACAGATAAAGAAAGCGCGTTCGCTTTTGGCATTATCTACTAGCAAAACAAAATGACAAGTCATGGCACTTCGAGAAGCGCTGCTAGATTACGCTCCCGTTCCAGTCTCGCAGCGGACGAATGCCACCAAAGCGGATCACTTTCTTTATCTATCGGCTGATGCGCTGTAGGCCGCCGTGGAGTGTGCAGGCCACGCGCTCACATGTTCCCTTTCATAAAACAGGACACTGTACATAGGAATTTTACTGTATATGTACACTGTTACAACATCTGTCAGTACAAGTAGATGTGACTCCACTTTGCAGCTCTCTAAGCCGATTCGCCTTCGACATAAACAATAACAGTGACGAGCTGTGATGAGAAATGCACCATGACAATTACCTTCTCTGCACCTGCTGTCTTTGTCCTTGTTCTTAGAAGAAGACGAGGAAGTGATGAAAGCCCAGCTGCCACTCTCCAGAACTTGTCCTGCGGCCTTCAAAACCTTGCCCTGAACTGCCGCAGGCAGCTTGGCTATTAGCGGAGCCACAAACCAGATACGGTCGTTCTCTTGCCTGCAGTGAAAAAAGAACAAAACATGTGATTTTCACTCTACAAGAATCATACAAGGCTACCAAGCATTACTTCGATAACAATATTAGCCACCACAAAAATACAAAAAGCAGGTGCGTGGATAGTTTGGTTCAGCAGATGTCGAACCAAACAATCCTAGCACCTGCTTTTATTATTCGCACAACTCTAGTTTTTAACCCTTGACTGCTGCTGTCATAGTGAAAGCACAGATGTGCAGTCCTCACCTTCCATAGCTGCTGCCCCCATTACCGCTGGGCCTAGCAAATGGCATTGGTGAAGATGGATCTCCTCCCGAGGACCGGTGGGACGATGACAGAGGCAGAGAAGACTCCTCGCTAGTGAGCTGAAAGACATCAATGGTGGCCCGCGCTACACTGTCTAGCCATCCGTTGACCTCAGCAGGGCTGGCACACTGCTTGTAGCGCAACTGCAGCTCCAGCCACGACACCCGCATGCTCCATTGGTCCAAGCCCAGTAGCACCCGGCTCACCAACTGCCGCTGGTCACATGGTTCTTCAAAGAGTGCAGGCACAAAGTTTAGCACCGTCTTTTCTGTTTATTAGAATATTTAAAAGGCTATCGTGGTGGATTCTTTGTGTGCACAGACAAAAACAGCCAACTCCAATTTTATTGGTCACTCTGCTTGTGCACACGACATCATTGTTGGAGCTGCAACAGGATCTTTTCAAAGGTCATGAGAAGCATACATGTACATCCAGCCTCATTGGAGGAACGTTAAGGGAACAGCAGATATAACTTCATTATATTCCTTGCTTGATGATATCCATTGTTATACTTCATTGCAACACATGCCTAACATGCCACTGAACTTTAAACATCCAAAAATAAGGACAGCATTGCAGCTTGCAGTAATGTTTATAAAGCCATGTACCGTATTTACTCGCGTAATGGACGCACTTTTTTTTCTTAAAAGAATGAGAGTAGAGTTGGGGGATGCATTTATTATGTGGGGTAAATTTTATGAAAACTTTTTTGGGAGGAGCAAAAAATGCAGTAATGCAAAAAAAAGTTAGGTCGCTTAGTCTTTTGCCACTGACATACGCATACACTGTCTGGAAACAGCCTCTTTGTTGCACTTTACTCATCTTCGGTAGTTGAGGGCGCTATCTTCTGCAAGTTGATTCAATTGATTGATTTGTAGGGTTTAACGTCCCAAAAGCACCATATGATTATGAGAGACGCCGTAGAGGAGGGCTCCAGAAATTTCGACCACCTGTGGTTCTTCAACGTGCACCCAAATCTAAGTACACGAACCTACAACATTTCCGCCTCCATCGAAAATGCAGCCGTCACAGCCGGAATTCGATCCCATGACCTGCGGGTCAGCAGCCGAGTACCTTAGCCACTAGACCATCGTGGCGGGGCTATCTTCTGCAAATTGTTCCCGGGCCGCCCACGCACACCATAAAAGCGTTTTGCGGCTATCTTTTCTAGCAATCGTTTAACCGCTACAGTGGTATCTGCTGTGATCTCGAGGGGCGCCCATAACCGTGCGCTACGACTCACTTTGCCAACTTTGCAGCAACCTCGCACAACGACCGTGACAACACCGTTAACATTGTAGCAAGTAACCAACATTGCAGCAAGCTACCCTGAAAGCATCAAAACAAACTGCCAATAACAAGATTAATGACAAAATACGGCCGCCGCATTGCTTCTACATGAGAAGTTCCTGTACGCTCGGATAACCCCAAGCGATTTTTTCTGGTTTTCCAGAAACCTGTGACGCAATAGTGACGAATTACCCTTTGCAACAGCAAATCCTGTCATCGTTGCTCTAAAATTGCATGCATGTGGTGGTTGGCACGGGCAGTTTCGTGACCTTCACTCGCTGTGTGCTAATCAGCTGCGATGTCTCTAGACTCGCACCGTTCACGAATCCCACTGTGGCGCACAGATAAAAAAGACGGGGGACATGCCGCGCACAGACAAACAATACGGCACGCGGCAACGGGCTAAGGGGGAGAAGGAGCAAGCCGAGGTGGCCGAAGGGGATCGGCAAAATAATAAAGAACAGAAGAGATCAAACGCGTAAGGAGGCGCCAAGTGACGATTAGCGGGACTGCAGCGGATGAATGTAGGGGGTGCGTTTATTATACGGGAAAAAAAAATCCCAATTTTGATGACTGAAGTTGAGGGTGCATTTATTATGCAAGTGCGTTCATTACGCGAGTAAATACAGTATAGATATAAAATTTCCTTAAAACAAGAAAAGTATCTTTCGCATCAGAACCGGCATATACATTTAAAAGCAGGCACTTGAAATCCTGAAAGCATTTCATATTCACAAAGCTAGCTACATATTCATCAGTGTTCTATCTATTGTTCTTTCATGCAGGAATCTCTCTTTTAATGTCGTGGGTTACACATCTGTTCAATGTTATCTGCCCTTGGCACCTGTGGTTCTATCTTTCTGCTTTGCAGAGTTCATGGTTCCTGTAGTCAATGTTTGTTAGGTTACCCATTCCCAATTCAGGTTATGTGCAGCTAGCTCTGAACTTTTCTACGTAAGTGTCTTCTTTAAAAAAAAAAAGCTTTCAGATGTTTGTGGTCTGTTCTTTCATATTTAAATTCAGTTTTATTAAACCTTTTCCTTATAAAACTTGCAGGAAGACAATGCAAGAATAAGAGCAAAAAGCTGGTAAGTTGGCAGCTTGATGGGGCTCCTACCCCTTTTTCCTTGGCATCGGAAACCCGCAAACTCCTGTCCCCTTTAGCACTGCGCTACCAATTCATGACAACATGGAGGCATTCTAAGTCTTTCTTATTATGCAGACATGCTTTGTTTGTAAAGAAGAAACACAGGTATAATCTTCTTACTGTACAGAGATACAATTGAAATTTAATCGAATGAAACCCAATTTTACAAAGTTCTCAATCTAACGAAGCAATTTCCATTACTGGGCAGTTACCCATGGGGTTGCAATGTTGTCATCAACCCGAATTAATGAATCCAACTTTGTTCTAAACTCGATTCGACATAGATTTTCCAAAAAAGATCAGTAAAATACCAATGATTTCTTTTTAATTTTGACACAGACGGCTCTTTTTTTGAGCTTGTGTGCTCCAACACTAACATTTTAAAACATCTAGCCACCCTAGTCGGGATGCTAGCATTACTTTGACAAGGCTGCACGCCACGCCAATGAATGGAACGGCAAACGTGGCAGTAAGTAGCACTCCCACAGGTACACTATGGTAGTTGCACTGGTTATTCAAAGGGGACACTATGGTCAACTATTCAGTCGGCATTGATTGTTGAAATGGCAGTCCAGAAACCTCGTAGTGTTACTTTTGTGCCAAGAAAGGGCCTATTTTGAAATAAAATCACGTTCTAGTGGTCTGAATTGGGTTAGCGCACTTTAAATTACCCGCCTCAAGAAACGGACCGTCCAGACCAACTCACGTTACTGTCGCTGTGCACATTATTGTCCGGCTTTACTGCTCTAGTAGCAGCAGGCCGAAAGCAGCGGGAGTCACAACAGAAACAACGGCCATTGATCAATATCCTTCCATTGGCTCCGAGATTGTGGACGCTAATTTTTAACTGCGCCCCGCCAGATGGCACCACCTGTCCCGTGTAACCACGCGTAAATTGAATTTTCGAACCACTCGCGCCATTCCACATAGTAGCCTCCGGCATTTCTTTTTTCCATGAATCAAACAGAAACGAACAAGTAGCGTTTTATTGCATCTTTTGATGCACGGAAGGTTCTTTATCTAGTGCAGTTAGATCGATTACTAGTGAATAAGTGAATAATTGTAGGCAGTCCGTCTGATGTCATCGCGATCATTTTGAAAATTTCCTACTGCGCCGCTTGTGTTCTTGTGCATTTACCTTAATTTCTCCGTAAGTAGGGCACTGTTGTTGATAATATTGTCATTTTAGGTGTTGTCATACAATGAGCTTTCACTCTGACGTAAATTGTTATGCGACTTTAGTGTCCCTTTAATAATATAATAATAATAATAATAATATAATAATAATAATAATAATAATAATAATAATAATATAATGATGATGATGATGATGATGATGATGATGATGATGATGATATTATATTATTATTATTATTATTATTATTATTATTATTATTATTATATTATTATTATTATTATTATTATTATTATTATTATTTACCATCTACGCAATTAAATTTGATGAAAGGTGTGAGACTAGAAGCGAGGAACCCTTGACACAGGTTTCACATTTTTTTACAGTAGGCCGCAGCAGCAAACATCATTATATTGAAATTATCTGTGCTCACAAGAAAGTAAAACAAAAGAGAGAGAAAAATGCTGGAAGCACATTTCCATGCGTTTCATTTTTCAGCATATGCGTTATAAAAATCTATGGGGGATGCAAGATTACAAGTGCACGTGTACAGATATCACTGGCAAGAATTTAGCACAATAAAAAAAATATGATGACAAACTCGCAATGACATATACAGTCACCATCCGATTTCTCAGACGCTTGAAATTCCTGACATGCCCGATTTCCTGGTCAGATCTCTGGCACCATCAAGAACCCCATAGAGTGAATGTCTTGAAAAGTCCAAAATTCTGGACGTTTATAGCTTCCACGATCCGATTTTTCAAGCTTTTCACCACTAACCGCTGGCTTGAAGTCACTATCGATGCCGTTATTTTGGTTTTTTTCGGACCCTCGAAACCACCACGCCACTGCTGCTGCACCCTCAAAACCAAAAATGCTGCAATCCAACGCACACCAATCCATTGCCAGCCGTAGCATAGGCTGCATGGTGCTGTTATGGTGCCGTGCAGCCTGTGCTCCGAAAGTGGGAAAAGCTACGCTGTTGACCTATGGTCTGCCGTCAGCATGCCATTTGTGGAAAGCGGTTACGCAAGAGACGTTTCGGAACTGTTTTCGCCACGCAAGCTTCATAGTGGATGCCGAGACGGCCATCGCACCCAGAGTGCACAGTGTGTGCAACGAACTTCCACCCACGGCCGTTGCCTTCGAAGATCTGCTCATTACCGGTGTTTCGATTCCAGCCAGGAGAACCTTTGAGGGCTTCGCCGACGCTGACAAAGACCACGAGCTGTGTGCGGAATTGACTGATGACGAAATTATTCGTCAAGTTACGAAGGATTCTGGCGACACCGAGACTGAAGAGGCAGTGCCTACACAGTCAACGAGCTCCGAGTTGACGCGAGCACTGACACTGTCACATCAGAGTACAGCGACAGCATGACGTTAACTGAAATTGAGGCAGACATCATCGCGGCAAGTGGAAGGCCGTGCAAATGAAAATAAGCAACCTTTTTTTGCGCCTAGGTGTTTTACCGGCCCCATCGTATTTTTTTTTCTTATCTTTCTTTTAGGTCTTTTTAGAGCCACCTAAACAATGCATTAGCTGAATTTCAATAAGAACCCTGTATTCCTCTTGCGACCCTCTCCGTCAACGAAAAATACCTATTGAAAAGTGTGCTATCGCTTGCATTTGTTTTTTTGGACTGCTTTATTTTCTAGACATTTTCATGGTCCCTTGAGGGTCCGGCAAATCGGACAGTCGAAATTATGTAGTTAACGTCCGATTTCCCAAACCCTCAAAGAAACGCGAAAACGCCCGAAAAAATCCGACGTAGACTGTATAAGCATGAAGTGTGTAATAGTGTCAGTAGACTGGTTTATCAGATGTGTCTACACTTAAACAAACATAATGTGCGATGTTGGGGAACACTTTATATAGTGGAGAGACCAATTGCAATATTGTCATCTATGCAAATTTTTATATGGTTATCTCATAGTTTATGCAAAACCATAAAATAATGATTTTAATTATCTGAGAACCCATCTGTAGGACTCAAGAAAGATGAAAATGTGACTATATAGAACCACGATGCAAAAGAATTGAGGTATCGTAGAAAGCTGTCACAACGAGCATACAAACTACAACATTTCAACCCTTCAAGGTTTAAAAAAAAAATGCTCTTCTGATGTCGCTACCTCTTTCGTGTGGACTTGAGCCACCGCCTGCCGAGCCACCATTAGCACCACTTCCCGAGCTGCTGCTGCTACTTCCAACAACACTGTTTCCCACTATAGAACCAAACGTGTCCATGCCGTTGTTACTGGTGCCAGGGGAAAGCCACGAATTCGTGTTGCCACTGGTGGTGCTCTTAGGGTGGCAGATCATGTGCAACAATGTCTCCGCCTGAAATGACAAACATATTGCCCTAATAAGTTTTCAGTGCCCAGAAGAGCAGTATTGGGTATCACAATACCACATAGATTCAATGGCATACAACAAGGCTGTCGAAAACAATACCGTAATTACTCGAATCTAACGCGCACCTTTTTCTGGTTAAGCGAGTTCATAAATCGCATGCGCGTTAGAATCGAGTACGAACAAAAAAATTACGATCAATCTATTGCCATCGGCAAATCCAAAATGGCCGCCCCCTACGTGCGTCGGCATGGCATGCCATTTGGCGTCGGCCAAATGGCGTCGGCCATTTCTCCCTATGTGTTTCCCATGTGCGGCACTTCGTACGTGTGCTGAGGAGTTCGTCATCTAGTAGTGCATTAGCATCGACGGCGTGGAAGGGCCGACTCCAAAAACTCAAGTGCACTACGATGCCGCTTTTAAAAGAAAAGTCATCGCGTGCGCAGAAACGGACGGAAATCGGGCCGCATCACGGTCGTTCGGAGTTCCCAAAACGTGCGTGCGGGACCGGCGGAAACAAAAGCCGAAGATTGTCGACAGCAAAGCTTCACGCAAAGGCTTCAGTGGACCACAGCAGGGTCGGTTTCTGCAAATTAAAGAGCTGCTCGGCGAGTATGTGCTTGAGCAGCGAGCGGCACAGCGGCCCATGACGACAGAACTGCTCCAAGTGCGGGCTATGCAATTAGTCTTAGAAAAAGGTCTAATGCGGAGCCAGTTTAAAGCGAGCAGGTGCTGGCTAACTAACTTTATGAAGAGGAAAGGCTTTTCCCTCCAAAGGGGAACATGCATATGCGAAAAGTTTTGCGGAGGAGTACGATGAAAAGCTTCACAGTTTTCAGAGGTTCGTCCTAAACTTGAGGCGCAACAATGGCTATTTGCTTGGGCAAATCGGGAATGCCGATCAGACGCCTCTTTACTTCGACATGCCTGGCACCACAACCGTCGAGAAGAAGGGAGCGAAGCAAGTTCGCGTGCTGACATCGGTGCATGGTAAAACTACAATGACGGCAATGCTCTGTTACACGTCAGATGGGCACAAGCTTCGCCCGTACCTCATATTTAAATGGAAGACGCTCCCGAAAGGAGTCGTTTTTTCGAGTGGTGTGATCGTGCGGGCCAGCGAGAAAAATGGGTGCGCGTTGCAATCGATGTCTTACTTTTTTTTTGTTTTTTTTTTTTTTTTTCGCGGTAGAAATCGGGTGCGCGTTACAATCGAGGGCGCGGTAGAATCGAGTAAATACGGTATTAGGAATGTCATGCTCAAGCACAGTCAATTGAATGAGAAATGAGATAAAATAGGCATTGCTTAGTTACAGCACATATCACGTACAGACAAAAGGCAGCACACCTATGGTGCCATGTATGTTTCTCTTTTGTTTGCCTTGCATGGCTATCTTCTCTGTGTGCCACAAATTAACATCACATTGGTAAACATCAGTCAAGAGGAAGTACATCTTTCACAGGCAATTTTCGAGATGCGGCAGCAAAGTAAGTGCAGTGAGTGCAGTGTGACGTCAAGAGCCACGTTTTAGCGGGCTGAAATCTTCGTGCTGTCCTGAGCTTGCGGCCCTTGTACACACTGCGTGATCGATCTCTGCTGGTTACACACGAAACGGCCATGCAAGAAGCCTGCGTATTCACTTCTGAAACAGGAATGCCAAGGATACGATGTACTGTAAAGCCAGCAGTGTTTGGGCATCAGTTCATTAAAGCACTTTGCTTTCAAAATTTTTCAGTATTACTGCAGGTAGCCACCGACAACCCTTCACATCGAAGGCCACGCCAAGGGGGTGCACATTTGTGGTCACTTTCTTTGTCCTTTTGTTTGTCAATTCTCTTGTTTGGAATATCTACTTTTTCAAAGTGACCACAGCATATTTACTTATATTTAATTTAAATATATTTGCATAGAGGCTGCACTATATATACACAATCAAAAACAAGCTGTTCCCCTCTCCCAATAATTTGTTGCACTTGGCTAGTAACAATTATTTGCCAATATAAAAGCATAGATTCAGTATCTTTAGAAAAATGTGCACTGAGCTTCAATGCAATTTTTTCTTTGCAAGTGTGTTTCCTTGGAGTGAGCACTGCTTCACTAACAACAGCCCCAGTCATGTTCTAAATGAAGAGGAAGTGCGTGCTGCACATGCTAGAGCTAGCTTCTCCAACACATGGGTTCATCATTAGAGTAAATTCCAATGGTATAAGACAAGCCAAACGTGCTTGCACCTACGAATTACAAAATTTCGTTACCAGGCTAAGGTGTCACAAGAAATGTAGCTGTACAATTATGAAAAAGGTGCATTGTGGCAACCAACTAGAAAAGATTGAACACTTGGAACGTTGAAGCAAGTCTCAAAGCATACCTGTTTGTGTGACAGCATTGGATCCAGCAGCAGATCCGGCGAACAGAGAACATCGGGATCTCTCAGGCAGCGTTCATGAATCCACTGTTGGCTGCAGATTGCGCCTAAGGCGTACTTGGCAAATTCATTCAGGCCAGCACTGTCTATGCCTGTTCCACGTGGAGCTCCCACACTACTCGGATGCCTGCCCAAGGTGGCACTGTGCAACACATAGGAGTCAATAGAAAGGGACACCAGTTAAGACAAATTCAGGCATTGAGAAGCACCGTACGTAGCTTCGCAATGCAAAAGAAAAGGGGAGACAAAGGCTTACATTACAAAAGAGTACTGGGTAAATGAGAATCATTACACATTCAGTGAGCCACAAAAAGACCACACCATACCGTTGAGAGCTGCAGAAATGTGCAAAAGTTAAACACATAAATATGAAGGCATTCATTCTGTGCTCTTCACACGTCTGCTAAATGTGCCTTTAACACGCTACGACCCAAATTTCTAGGTTACATATAGCGTTGAATTTCTTCTTTATGTCCATTAACCAGGGTTTTTTTTTTTTTTTTTTTTTTTTTTTTTTTTTTTTTGTCTCTTAAGCCGGCCGCGATACACCTGAACCTCTTCAAAGCCTGCACGCTGCAAAGAGTTAAATTTGATTCAATGTCCCTTGCCAATAACAGCAATTTCCCGCAAGATAACAAAAGGAAATTTAAGAGACAACACCGCAACCCGACTTATTCCCCATGTCAGTGTCTACAGTGCTGAAGTTTACATACATATAACTAGTTTTCAACTGGCTATGCCACTCTACAGTGAACATGGCTTTAATGAATGTCTGCAACTAGGCGTAGACTCCTTATAACGTCAGTCACCGAAGTTTTGAATCTGACTCACTATAGGCAAAATATTTTGTAGGTTGCACATGAGGAAAACATGTTCAGTAAGGAGCCACATGTTTGAGGCATGTGACAGAAACGTCTGAAGGCATAGCTTGCCTTTAAAATGGGGCACACAAAATAAGACGAAGGTGACAACACTCATCTGTTTGAATATCCGAACATTTAAATGGACTACGCAACACTTTCCATTCACTCACTGAATGATTTTATTAAATGAGCTTATTGCCTCACAAATTGACTTCCTCAGAAATTTTTAGAATCCATCAAGTACGAGTGGAGTTGCAGAAACTTGTCGCATGCTTTACGCGCTTCCTCTCTGCTTATATGCATACAACAAGCAGTACAGATGTAACAAGATGTACAGATGTATGGAGGGGTTAACTAGAGCCGGAAAAGACTACAGCCAGTCCTGCACTAAATACAGCAGCATCGCAAGTGCTCTGAGGTGTGCATAATTGATAACATAGATGAGAACTCACGGCACCCCGAGGTCAAAGTCTGTGTCATCTATTGGGCCAAGAAGGTCATTGATGCTGGGCTCCCCTTTGCCCTGAGCCGAGTCCAGTTTCGCTTTGGCCTCCAACGTCGGCGTGCTAGCATCCCCTGTAATTGCAAGCCCTGATGAATATATAGAGATGCTGGTCAGAAGAGACAAAAATTGTGTTGCTACAATGACCATCAGCCTAAATTCTGTGTAATAAAAAAAAAAGGAACCTGGCACAAGAGGTGTCACTGTGTCTAGTATCAAGGCTGGACATGGGTCCTGAATTTTTTTTTTTTTTACCTATGGAGATAAAACTTGAGGTCAAGTTTATGTATATTTATATAATGATTTCAAATTTGTAATAATTTGTCCTATATTATGTAGCTTTAAAAATATCAAATGTTCATATGCCTTTTGGGAGCCACAGTATGCCTAAACTGAGAGAGATACATAGTAAACCAAGCACTTTAAAACAGCTTAGAATGAGTGCTGAATGTAAGAAAACAAAAATGGTTGTTTTAAACCATTTGAACAATTCATATGGTATGTTTAACATTCACAAATAAGTGTACGTCCCCCCCCCCCCCCAAGCTGGAATTTCATCACAAATATTCACAAACCACAACTTTTGTTCAAATTATCTTTGAACATCTATCTTGTTTTCTTGCATTTTGCACTCATTCCAAGTTATTCTGATGTGCTTAGTTACTTTGTAACGTTCTCACAGTAGGCAAATAAATAAAAAAGCTATACATTCTACTATCAAAATACGGTAGTTTTATATTTAAAATGAGCACACAAATGTACACAAGCTCAGACAGCTTCATATAATCAATAAAATTTATTGTTTTAAGTTTTCAGGGGTATAAAATATCACTTCCTTTTTTTACATATCTTCAATTACACCATAAACGTTAAAAAGGCTTCGCAAAGGGATAGAACTGTGGTCCCGTCATTTTCAGTATGAAATGACGACAGTTATAGCGCGAGAACAAAATGACGACACAGAGACAAGAAGGACACGAAAGACACGAGCGCTTTGTGTCCTTCTTGTCTCTGTGTCGTCGTTTTGTTCTCGCGCTATAAGTATCGTCATGCCATACCAACCAGCCCAAGCTGCTACACTTCAGTATGAAGCTACAAAGGAAGACTCTGACCAAGATTAATGTTATATCAAGTGGGGAAGCTCAGAAGCACCCATGTGCTACAAGTTTTCCATTTATTAAAAACTATACTATGAAACAAACTCAGCTAAATGCAGCACTTCCACTGATGCTTTTTTTTTTTTCTTTTTGGCAAAGCAGTGCGCACAGTGAAGTGATTTATTGTGTACCATATACGACCCTTTACGATGACAATGAGTTAGGTTTAGCTCTTGTTCTATGCCCCATTTCAATCAATCAATCAGCTTTACTTTTTGTGTATTTCCTTAACAAACAAAGGAGCGGCGAATAAAGCTATTTTCCGACAGCTTGACGAGCCCGCTGCCTCCATTACAAGGACTCACAGCAGCGCAGCGACAGTTACACTTACACTTACATGCATCTACATATGAATATAAACAAAGAAGTTTGCAAACAATAAAACATTGCAGGTGCCTATGACAAAGCAAGTGGCCATATTTATGGCCAACGCTTTCCAGAATGGGTGTCCCATTTGTGACAACATCCAACGTGATGCCACATTGCAGCAAAGGGCATATCATCCACTGGCTGATCCAGAGTATGCACGTCAATTAGTGCTACAAGCAGTGCCAGGGGAGCCTCGTACCGAGCAGCAGGATAGCCTTGAGGACTGCAAGGACTGGCTCGACACGCATGCTGCTGTGAGCAGCCGACAAGAGGTGACGATCACATGGAGATCGAATGAGAAAGAGAGGCCTTGGAAGGGGCGTGGCATTTCCCGCAGGTGGTGCGGAGTCTACTGTGCGGAAGAGCCGCAGCAGCAAGTGGCACGTCAACCGGGCACCCAACTCTGCATCCTGGTCGGCGTCGCCACCCACTGCAAAACACCACCACCACAAAAGCACATGTTACCACAACATCCATACTGAAAAAAAGGTGCAGCAAAACTTTTCATAACAGAGTGCAATGTGTTGGATATTAAAGAGCATGACTTCTCCCATGGTTTTTCTTACAAATACCAGCATTACACTTGATGCACAACTGTGAACAGATGTTCACAGATAAATTTTATTTATTTTTTGCAAGTACTGGAAGTTTGCCTTAAAGCTACATCATTAGGTTTCCTTTAAAGTCTGTGTGTAAGTGCATTTTCATTGAAATCCACACTCTCTCAGCAGAAGTAGTTTGTTCTTGCTTGCCAAAATCAATGCTTGGCTATGACGTGTAATAACATTTGGCTAATTGCAGAAATATGTACGAAAAGCTGTAGGAATTGTAGGACGTCGAAAGAAAACTCACTTAGTCACCCAAACAAAACTGCAAGCTACCTGCTGTGAGTATAGGAACACCGTTCTTAATATGTTTGTTATGGCATTGCCTAGTAGCTTACAACTATTGGTTGATTTACAATTATTAAAACAAAACTGTAGAACCTCAATCAGACCATAGTCACTGAGGGTCGATTCAGCAACTTCAGCATTATTACAAGATATATGTTTTATGCAAGCCTTGAGAATCTTCAAGCAGACACAAATAAGATTGACATTTATTGTATTATAAACCTGAAGTGATAAACACTATTTTGTAATAAGGCAAAAAAGATGGGGAGGAGGGGGAACCAATATGACCTTTCAATATAAAATCGAATCGCTCTCTTAACATTATGTTTCCACCAATATCAGTAACATATGACATAAAGAATCCTTTCCCATGTACATTAGACTTTCCATCATGCACATGAGCAATATGAGAAAGCAAGCTTTGTATTCAGGAGTGATTTGCAAGTGGATATAGCCGCACGTTTAAGAATATAATCGGCACATCTAAAGCAAGTTGAGCAAGAAAACCACACACCGCTCACAAGGCACAAACATCTCAGCAGAAACCATGGATAGGAAGAACAGGCGATTTCTTTGTAGTTGGTAGACCCAACATGGCAGTAAGGATGCAATGTCAGTTTCTGCATGACACTTAACAGTGTTTTGCCTTATGTTGCTTTTCATTCAGAAAGAGCAACGATCTTTTAGGCCTGTGGTTCTTGTGTGTTCTCAATGCTCAAGCAAGGTACACCAGCCCCTAAAGTGGTCTACATTTCTAAGCTGACAACAATTCTAAAATATGGAAGATAAAGACTAAGTAGACTTATTAAGCCACAAACCATTTTACTGGTTGCTGCAACAGAAACCTTAAAAATTCCGTTTTTTTTTTTTTTTTCTCACATTCTACGACCTATAAACTGTTAATGCTCAGCGCACAAAAATGCAGGGAGCCACAGAAAACAATATGGCAGCACACCAGGACTAGCAGAGAGCACGACGGTATGGCCACATGCACCCGAAATCCTGAAGGGAGAAACAGCGCCTTGCCACCAGAATGCACGTGAAGACTGCCAGGTTGTCGTGGATGGACAGGTCGCCCCCTGCAGGCATGGAACCACATTTCCCGGCTGAAGTTCCCCTCACGTAAACACCCCTCTTTGTCATCTCAAAGTGCTCCGACAACACTACAAGGGCCATGTAAGGCTGTGACCAATTACGATGCTTACTTTAGAAGCACACATTAGCTTCAGTGCATTAGAACAATCGTATAAAGCCCATGCTAAAGGGTTTTTCTCTCAGGTATTGCCATAGTGTGTCAACTCAAGTGCAACAAACACTACAGAGGTGCTGCCACCTACTTGAAGATTTAATGAGCAGCTTTAGGCAAAGGGCCACTATGATAATGGGAGTCTCGATACAAGTAACAGCAATACGGATGATGAAGACCGATTACAGTCAAACTCGTTATAACGAAGTTGAAGGGAAAGTGTAGTTACTTCGTTATAAACTATTAGTTTGTTACAGCCAATTTCATTTCTACCAACAATTAGCCAACAAGAGAGAATGTACTCGCCAACGAATATCACAGCTGCCCTCCACTCAGATTAAACAGCCGTCGGAAGGCAAAAACTAGCAAAATAATAAAGAACAATGCACTTTATTTCCGCCGAATTCAGCCCACCACTGACAGATCACTTCGAAGAAAAATATTCCTCAATAGACTTTTGCCGAATCTTCCTCATGCGGATGACTGCTTTTTCAGTTGCAGCCGCTATTTCGAGTCCGTCCTTGTCGTCATCGTAACCACCAAAGAAGCGGCACAAGACGAGACGTAAACCGTTGTGCGCTATAAGATTTTGGAAATTGACGTATACCAAAATGATCAGTAAATACTCATTGTGGACGAAGAACGGTTTGTTATATCCATTGTGGGGAAATTTTCACTTTGTTAAAACGAGGTTTTAAACACATGGGCGTCTATGGGAACTTCAAGGGGAATTACAATTGCTTCATTATATCCATTATTTCGTTATATCTTGTTTCGTTATAACAAGTTTTTACTTTATCATCACTGTAGAAACCTCCATTCATCATAAATAAATACCGTGTTTTATAAATTTCAACAGAAGCTAACACTGAAGGAGCATTTTAAAACAATATTAAATGCTTCCAGAGAGGTTAGCTGTCACGTGCACAGCATAAGCATGAACTTCTACTTTTTACAGCATCCAATATAATGAGGGATGAAAGTTCTAGGTCAATATTAAAAAAAACTGAACTCTCCTGGCTGAGCTAAAAAAAATTTTTCTTTCTTTACTAGATCACTAACTCACCTGATGAACTTAGAAACTGAATAAACTGGCAAGAAGTCTTCGATGATCCTGAATCGGCATGCTTCCTAATACAAACAGAATGCACAGTGCATGCGCATAAACGTTTGGCTAAAATGGCGAAAGTAGCACATCGGTGCCTTTTAAGGGTCTCTGCAACACCTTTGCAAATTTATGTAAGTGGTTCGACTACAACTAAAGTGAATCATCCGCACCTCGACCTAACTGAAGCACAAAACGTCAAGGAAGCTACGAGCAATTAGGGGATCACACCCCCCACCAGATGTTGTGAAAAATCAAGGCTGCTAGGCCACTCACTCTTCCTGTACAAACGCGAAAGGCCAATCAGGTCAGAGTGACATATCAAAACAACGCCACATTCTAACACCAGAGTCTAACAATGCATAGGATAAATAAGGTCATTGAGACAAAATGGAGCAATAAATTAGTAGTCTGTAAGCTTAAAATGAAATCCGCTCGCACGGGGCTGCACAAATTTGAGATCTATGGGAGAAGCCCTGCAGTGAACACAGAATAAGCTCATGACAACAATGACCTAATCAACCAGGTACCTCATTTCTAAAAGCACCTGTCTCCAAAGCTAGGTATCCCTAAACATTCAGAGATGCAGAGGTAATATAATACTCACATCAACTTGAGTGAGGACATCAATGAAGCCACAAGTATGATTAGATGAGCAGCAAAGCGCTTTGAGGACACCCAGCCATTCAGCACTAAGCAGACCACAACCGGCAGTGAGTTCAGCACACAGGAGAGAGATGTCATTCAGCCTGGAAGAAATACACAATACATAGTATGTCACAAAACTTCAGCAGCTGTTGCCAATAAGTGTGCCTGCTTTCTTTGGTCTGGACAGGGCATCGATACAAGTAAAATCAGCTAACACTTCAACGCTCAACACAGCCAAGAATTGGTCTACGTGTGTATACTGCTTACATATTGTAAGATAAAGACAGTACTGGAGCCATGACTGACAGTAAGCCTGGGTACAGGAGTACAAAGTGGTGTATTGAAAGACTTGGAAAAAATTTTATTCAATGTTTATTTGGTTATGAGACATAAATTTACAGACAACGACATTGTGCTGTCATGTTTAACCGGACAGCACACAGTCATGTTAAACGTGACATCTAGTTTTTTCCAGTTGAGTGAAGCAAAACCAAATAATGCACAGTACAGCTTAAATCACAGCAGAAAAGAGTAACATTTTTTAATGTAGCTGTAGGCTTCCCTATCTTGAAGAAACGGCCAGCTGACAGCGCGGTATTCAAAAGAAATTCGTACCTGTCTGCGTCTTGTGCCACAGATATGCTCTGAACAGCATTGCAAACAAAGCTGTAACCTAAATGCAGGGTTTCACTGAGCTGTTGATTTGTTGGGGGATCAACCCTAACCCTGGAAGCAAAGAGCAAAAAAAAAAAAAAAGAATAATTAAGTTCTGATTCAGGTGCTTTACAGAAATCATAGTATTCTTGCTTTCGATGAATTATCAAGGCTCACTATCAGGTCAGTATAGATGCTGCTCTGATTTAAAATCAATCACAAAAACACTCGTCCACAGCAGAAGCATCCTCAGCACAGGCCTTGGCCTAAAATATACAGTTAAAACTCAATCTAATGAAACCCAATTTTATAAATTCCCCATAATAGCACTCCTAACGGTGATATTATGGTCCTCAACTTTATTCAATAGCTTTCCCAGAAATACATGAGTAAATTGAGCAATTTCTTTCTAATTTTGACAAAGACAGGTTCCTGTTGTTGCTTTTTCAGGCGTGAACTGCAATGTTATCCCGTCAGAACATCTAGCCGCCTTGGTTCTATTCGGTACGTAGCACCCATGCACAGAAAAACAAACTTAGATAAACAGTCAGTAGCACTCTTAGGTACCAAATGGCAGTAGGGTGTTATGTTGTCTCTGTAAATGCTCCCATGATAACATGATGGTTGCTATCGTTATTTAATGGTTTATATGCGAGAGATGGCACAAACTGCCTGCTTGCAACTTCGCTGCTCTGCCTGCTTGCACAGTGCCAGCATTCGGACTGGGTGGAGGGGGGGACCCTCCACCCAGTCCTTGGATATCACGGTGTCAATGGCTAACAAAATATCACAGTAGCTATCGAGTGTCGCTACATTATAAGTTTAGTTTTCGAAGGGACGAAAAATCTCTTTCTCGATTTAGAGAAGTGCCCAATTTAAAGAAATAATTTGAGCACGGTCATCACTTCATTGAGCTTCATCTCTAGGTACGTAAAGCAATTTGAACTTGCTAGGTCTCTTTCTTAACATTTTTATAAAATCTAGCCTGAATAATGGCAATAGTTGGAATATCTCTCTCTAGAACACCAATTTCTAAACTTGATGTTTTTATAATAACCAGCACTAAAACTGTCCCTATCCTCTTTCCAGCACACAAGAACACAGCTTTATTTTTTAGGCATGAATCTCAGCGACAAAAATTCAGGGACTCTCTACTACAGCATACCTCATTACTTCAGTGTTCACTTGAGGCATCAAATCCACGCTACCAATCAAACTTTTCATGCACATAAGTATAAAAAAAGCAGCATCAGGAGAAGAAAATGACCATACACACAAGCATAACACTGAAATCTGATAACACTAGCAGTTTACTGGTCCAAATCGGGGAGCAACGGTATTTTATTAAAGAACACATGGCAGTTGACACGAACAGTGCTTACCTGGGGTTATTTACACATTCAATCATGTATGAACTATCCCAACGAAGGTTGAGAGAAGATGGCGTCTGAGGGGCGTACAGTGTTTGCTTGACTTTTGAGTAGAAGGAGCCAAAAATTTCGGAATGCTTGGACTGCAATGAAAACAGGAAACACCACAATGTCTCAGTTCAACTATATGTGGAAAAAGAAGGGAGACAATTTAACCTAATAACTTTTAACTCAAAGGAAATTGTGAGAAACATTGATGCATCAATAATTGATGCTTTAAATATCTGTATAAAAACTCATTAAATCTTGTACAGCCTCTTGAGATGTCAAAAGCAGAAATCTACTTATTTGGTCTTCCAAGACTATATTGAAGGGATAAAAGTTTACTCAATTGTCATTCGTGTCTTCTCACAGAGTGCATTTATTAAAACAGAAAGCATTTTATATTTTTGAAGCAGCATGGCAATCCTCTTCTAAACAGACTGCCACAGCTTGAGTCATTGTGGTGTAATCAGTGTCTCTACTAATATCACTGCGTTACATTGCCATGTTGCAGTGAAGCTTTTTAACACTAATCCATTTAAGTGATTCACAAGTGATGCAAATGAAATCCTGTATGAGCCATCTAAATTTTGAAACATGCACCTCAATTTTTACATCTATTGCATTGCTCCTCAGATTCAATGCATACTTTGACAGCACCACCAAAACATTGTTATGTTATGCCAGCATAAATATTTACAACGATGCAAGAACTTCAGTTAAATGGCCCCTAAACTGCCTAGGATATTTTTCAACATTTCAAGTACATGGACACATCAAGTTCAAAGTGCCTTCATGACTAACAGTGCCAAATGTGGCAGAATTACGAGTCACAGCTGCCCCGCAAAATCTAAGAAACGATCCCTTCTCTTTTCTGTGACTTTCGGCAATTCTCATTCTCTTAATATTCACTGAGACGTGAACATCGAGTCAACATGTCATCTGTTCATCATCCAGAATACCCGTCTGCATCCTTGAAGGTATGCACGCTCGTCACCCTTCCTCTTCAGACTGTGAGGAGAAAACTGGGCCAGGAGGAGAGACGAGCCGACGAGCAAAACATAGCAAAAAGAGATTGATTGATAGATATGTGGGCTTTAACGCCCCAAAACCATCATATGATTATGAGAGCTGCCGTAGTGGAGGACTCCCGAAATTTTGACCATCTGAGGTTCTTTAACGTGCACCCTAATCTGAGCACACGGGCCTACAGCATTTTAGTCTCCACCGAAAATGCAGCCACCGCAGCTGGCATTGGATCCCACAACCAGCGAGTCAGGAGCAGAGTGCCTTAGCCACTACACCACCGCAGCGGGACATAGTGAAACAAGAGAGGACGTCTTTTTTTTTTGTCATCAAAAACATGCAACTCCTGAAAAACTGTCATGGCTATGTGTTCACTGTAGCTTTGGCACAGCTGTAACACAACTAAATTTCGACCTCTGGGTGGCTTAAATGTCCTTCAACAAAACACATAGCAAGGCTAGTAGGTTATACATTCTTACAGGAATATTCCACCACTGCTTTTGATGGGGAAAGAAATGAGCACTGGAATATATTTGAATTAAGGATGCAAGAAGTGATCACTAAAAAGTGTTAGCAGCACAATTGCAGCGGCGCACTGCAGCACAGCAGTTAATATGTCAAATAAGATATGAATTGCTGTTTGATATACAATACATGTGTAGTGTGATACTGTACTTTCACATAAGATTTCTTAGAGTATGTCACAACTGTATGATGTAGCAAGTAATTTCATACATCCGGCTTTGACTATACACACACTGGTGCTCACCTTGAGGTAGGAACATGAAGAGTACAGGTCATGCAGGTAGCACAGTATGCAGCGTTCTGCAGAACTGCATTCCGCAGGGTTGGCAACATTCTTCACTAGCTTGCACAAACTGCAGAATAAAATTAACATAACACAGCTAAAGAATTTATATAACACAGCAACTTAAAGTTACGTTATCAGTAGGAAGTGCTGCTTCCCAAGCCCTATATTGTTCTTGTGCATGCAGTTTGTAAGCCCAGTTTTATTCAGAAGACTTTCTTTCAAAAAAAGCTTTCGAAACTGCCCACTATTTTTTAAACCAAAGTATACAATGAAATCTCTAAGATATGGACATAGTTAATCTGAATTTTATGATAACACAAGCTTTAGCAATGTCCCTGACCTACATTACGTAGGTCACTAAGGTTTGGTCTTATATAAATAGCTTTTCAATCAATCATCAGCGTTATGAACACACGAACTATTGGGGCAAGAAAGCAGGCCAGAGCGCCTAGTCTCACAGATAGGGCATGCACAATGCAGCCACTGGCACTCCTATATACCTCTGCCTGTCCAACAGTAGCAACAAGCAAGGCGAGAAGGAAAGGAAACGAGCGTGCATTCATTCAGACAAGCTCCATCAAAGAACTTTGGTCTTCTTTCTGCACACAGAGGCCTTTTGATGGGCTGTGCTAGCCAGCGATCGTTGGATCATTGGTTTGCTGGTAGGATAGGGCATGTGTCAAACCTCATAGCCTCAATTGCTTCAACTTTTTTCTACAGCTGCAAAATGTGCCACCAGGCTAAGTAGCATATAGTTCAACAAAGCTTTACTATGACCTCTGGCAACTGAGCGCACACACATACAATATAACAGTGATGCCCACTCGACGGTCTGAAGCCAATGTCACCTTCTCAACAATCTATACTGCAGAGACATTTTCTCCAGATGCTTGCTTTTCAAGTTAAACTAACATATTGTTTTCACTAATGATGATATTATGTGCACGTATTCTTAAAATGGGGCCAAGAACTCACGCACACAAATCCTGCAGCTAAGCAGAGTAGCACAAGAGCAGGTGCTGCCACATCATCTCTGGTCTTCAAGGCAAGATAGGTAGTAGTATAGTTAGACCCCTTTATAAGAGGCATGCTCTGGGTCTCTTATACGAGATGTCTCTTATAAGCAGGGTACCTCGTATGCATTTTCTTATCAACCTGTATTTTACTGTAGGCACACTGGTGTCTCTATACCCATTTGTCCTTTATATCAGTGTCTCTTATAAAGGAGTTCGGCTGTATTAGCACACTGTCGTTTTATACAACATATTGCAGAAGGAAATCATCTAAGTCAAACCCTGAATGCAGGCTACCTCAGTTATCACTAGAAACCGGATTTTAGACGAATGCCTATTTTGTTGCGTGCATTCCTATCGTGCCTATCGAGCCACCGAGCATGATTTAGAGGCTAAGGATAGCTTTTACAGTGTTTTTATAGTGCCTATAAATGCCTATTTTTTGTGTTTGTGCCTAAATTCCTGTAAGTGCCTATAATTGCTTATCTTCAAGATCGCTGGCTATGTGAACACTATTTACCCACAAATTTTGCTTTAGAGCGCAGTTTCACAACATCATTTATGTTAGTGGGCAAAATTGACATTTTGGAACTGTATCCGGTGTAAACTAGTTCTCTTGTTTGACAAACTTCTGTAAACAATCACCATCAGCCGAGAAATGGGTCGCACCAACCACCTTCAACCATCGTGCTGACATGGCAGGAATGGTTGCAGGTGTAAAAAGAGAAGAAAAGATGCTATTTTTGCTACCCCAAATGGGAGCACGTACCAGCGTATATAGTGGAATGGGGAGAGGAAAGTACAGGGGCGAAGAGGAGAGTGGAAGAACAGGAGAGTGCCGTCCATAGCAGAGGATGTTGCGGGCAGCTTTTAAAGCCAGTTTGCCAGGCCAATGTTTTCAGAAAAATTGAAGCCTCGAAGTCTGGGTGTGGTAGAGGGCAAGAAACAGTTGGTACCTTTGTGCAGCCGCAGGAAAATGAAGTCCGAATGCGAACCCATCGAGTTCCATCAGGGGAAGATAAAAAAAGTAGAGCGTAGGTAACAAAAAAAAGAAAAATCAGATGTGTAGGTGGATTTTGTTTTGTTTGTAATTTACAGATGTTTTTAATCTACCGCTGTGTAAGCTGCACGCCTTTGTATCGTATTCGTTATCAATGAACAAGACGATAGCAACCGCAGTTTCCTGCACAGCGGTTGTGGCACACTAGTTCAGTTATCAATTCGTGTGCACTGCAACAGTCGTGCACATCACTTAAGAACTGCGTCGTTGCGACCTTTGTTCAAATAGTTACGGCAAGAAATATTGGATTGAGTCGGTGTGCGTAGATTGCATGCGTACTTTCGTGACCGCCAATGATCGCGTTCGACATGACTATATTTGTGTTCACAGGGGTTGCGGCAGAATGCAGTCACGCTAGAACTACAGGTGCGTGCTGCTCGCGTGTGCGGCTTCATGACGCATGGTTGTCATTCACGATCACAGGGCTAGTGACGACGAGTGGTAGTTTGATTTATAGTGCAACGTCAAAAACATATGGCTGGGGTTTTTGGAGATCATAATTCTCTCACGGCCCGCACGTACATCAAATCCACCAGCAGCATCATAGTGGATGAGAGAGCTGCCACCGAGCGTCTATTATATAAATTTAGCGGGATGTGTGTGTGTGGTGGCAGAACGAATGTATCCGATGAATACACGGTTGTTTCGATACAGGCGTGCGTTCTGGATGTCACAAGTCGTTGAGAAATGGCCGAGTTGGTACGGGCATTTCGCTGCAATCCAAGGCAAGTTCCTTTTTCTTATGAGGTAGTACTCGCGAAAATTTCATTAAAGCAGAAATATCCAGAAAAAGTATTCGTTGTGACAAAGCATGTTTAAACTTGTTTTCTATGGGCGGCTGACGGGGAATCGAAAATCATTCGTTGTAGTGGAAATTTCGTTATAGCGGAATTCGTTATAGCGGGATTTGTTTGTATCACATCTTAATGAGAAATATAAGCTTTATTGTATTTCCAATTACTTAAGCTCTCAAGTGTGCTTCCCCGCCACCAAAATAACTCACATTGGCAACAAGCAGCATTCCTTGCTTAGGACAACACCAACTGAGAATTTGGATAGGTCACAATGCTAAGAGTCTTACCAACTGGCCTAAACAGTATCGTCCTAAAGTTGAGTAGGCCATGGTGTGCAAACCAAGCATAATGACTAAATACAGTGAAAGTCAAAAGGCATAATATGAATAGCTAGATGCAAAGAGATGACATATTCACCTGAAGGCCAAACTTGATCAAGCCGTGAATGTTGAACGACAGCTCCATAAGGTCGAAGAGAAAGGCAATGTAGTCGACAAGGGGCAGGTGATTCAAGGACCCTGCAGCAAAGCCGGCCAACATTTCCACCACTGACGCAGCGCATGTTTGGGCAACCACATGTTGGTCAAAATACGAAAGGGACTGGAATCTTGCCGTGACTGCCTCAAAGTTGAAACCTTCACGAGCGTGTCGTTTGACCTAAATGAAAGAAGAAAGCACAGTGTAATTCAAACTGTTGCACACAAAAGAAATTAAAGTTGTTGCTATATACAAAATGTACAAGCAGACCTACATTTAAACATGTGACATTACAAAAGTGGCAAGTCTAGGTCACTGGAATCCAGTCATGCCTAGCCTTACAGGTTTCATTACAGCAAACAATTTCTTGAAATTTATTGTGTTGAAATTTCGCTGTGAATGAGTACTCCAGGCCAGCGGTTTCTCTCAGATTAAATCTCCACACAAAGCATTTTTGTTCATGAATATAGCGGATAACAATCAGCCCAAAATTTCGGAAAAAGCAGGTATGGTGAACAGCATAGATGACAGGGTGAAAAGGAAAGAAATAAATCAGTCTTGGCCACGAGACTTGTTCTGTGTCAGTCTAGCACATGTGTTCAGTTTTCTGGTGATGTTTACTGAGCCATTCATTGACTATTAGACCTAACTTTCACCCTTGGAAAGTAAGAATTTCAAAACACTGCGTGGAATTCACCTTTCCCCCGTCAGCGATGTCCATCGATGCTTTCTTGGCAAACAGCTTCTGTATTTCTTTAGTGACCTTCTTGAGAGCATGCCGTGCCTCATCACGAATCTTTCCCACACCATAGAGCAGAATGTGCCTTTGGTTGCAGTCATGAGACCAGAGGCCTCCTTCCTCCTGAGGCAGAGGAAAGTGTGTGGTGTACTGCAGGTGCCGCAGTGGCCAGTTGGGACTCCGCACACCACTCCCTGGAGCCCCACCGACACCTGAGGCTCCACCACCAGGCTGGGAACCCACACCCCCACCCACTGGAGTCTCTGCCATGGGTGTTGTGGGCCCTTGGAGAGAGCCCCCTTCTTCTTGTCTGAGCCTACAGAATCTGCAGAGGGGAGCAGCCAAACGGAACAGTAAGCATGACAAAATTGGACAATGCAAGCACATGAGAATAGTGAAAGAAAATGCATACCTTTATTAAATTCTACCAGACCACTGCAACTGCTTTCGATTGGGCCCATCAAACAGAACTGAGTATAGTGAAATCTTGATACAGGTAATCTCAAGACACTGCTAAAAATCATTTGTTATTTTGAAAAGTCGTTGTAGTGAAAGTATACAAAATATGAGCAATAATCGTAAATGTAACAACATTAACCGCTACCTGTGTTGCATACACATTCGCAACGTCGTTATGCTCTAATAAGCCCCCCAAAAAAAACAATCACGGTATATTACAGAACCAGTGCACGTTTATTTGAGAAAGAGTGCAATCTATGTTGATGGCAGCTAGACTGCTGAAAGACAAACTCTTAAACGTGCGCATCCTTCTAACGCACTGCGAAGCATCAGAAGCATCGGCATTAAATGCCGATTTTTCACGTTGGTTTGTGCCCGCTGTTTTGACGTCTTCTTTACTCTCATCACCGCTTCCTTATCACGACAAATAGTATAGATCTTATAGGTCATCAGCTAGACTCATGTGCATTGTTAGTCATCACACTATGCGTAATGTACGAGCGTTAGTGAAGCTCTATGCACAGGTAATCATCGGCCACTTCAACCCATACACACGTCGCATTTCTCACTATCATAGCCCTTTTTCGTGCAGTTCCAGAGCTCATCTCAAACGTTCAATTACCAATCAAGAGGCTAGAAAACATTGATGTACAAGCGCGTAGGTAGAGCTGCCCAACGAAAACAAACATAGTGGGGTTAATAGGGCAAAGCCTGATGTCCATGCCTGACGCAAAAAAATAGGGCTACCGCACATTTTTAGGGCGAGCACATAAAAAATATTCAGGCGTTATGATGATGATGACAGTTGTTGGTACGCAGCTGGGCATTATTTTCACAGTCCGAGTAACTTTTTAAAATCGCTATTCAATATTTTGAAGTGTTGTGAAGATTTAGGGGGGATAAAATTCGATACACTATTCTGAAACGTTTGGTATTCTGAAATTTGTAGTAGTGAAATACTTTTACATTAAACTAATGAACATTTGGAGGGGAATTTTTGAAAAAAGTCGTTAATCGGAGGTTTGCTATAACAATATTTGACTGTAGTCATGCTAATGCAGCTATGAATCGTAACAACCTACAAACAATTCTATGGCAGAATTTCCAACACTTGGCATCCCTGTGAGAGGTCACTGACCCAAACAGGCACCTGTCGCAGTTTTGCAAAGTGATAAGCCAAGTGCCATGATGTACTGAGATAGGTCAGTGTTTTGTCTGTGCAGAAAAACAACTAAGGAACCATGCTCACTCTTACAATAACTTCCCTAGTAGGGCATTGCAATCGACCGATGTACCTGGCGCACAAATCTTAAACATGTAAACAGAATTTCTTTAATTTACTGAATAAAATGGTCATAACGCAATCAAAACTAAGACCATAAGCAAAAAAAAGTCATTAAGATGCATCATTGAGAAAAATCATGCTGCTTTTGCATGTTTGGTGCTCCGATTCTAGACAATAACAAAAGATGCTCCTCCATTCATTCCATGCATGTGCACTCCTTTTTGGTTGTCAGAGCATCTTGAAATTATGCGGAAACATGCACACATTGATTCAGAAGGACTTTCCCAACACCAGCCAGACTACACGAGCGTTCCTTCAGTGCATCAACCAGAAGAGTGGCCGCCAAGTTTCGCAAAAGAAAAAAATAATATGCAATGATGAATGCTGCTAAATTTGTGCATTTAGCTCCACAGAGCAGTTACTGCTAAAAGTTTCTGACAAAGCCCTAAGTTGATGTTCTAATCGTTCTGCAAAAACAACAATGCATTAAAAGCAATCTTTCACAATTGCTCCGCTTGCCGTGCATACACAAGAAGAGGAAGAAGAAAGTTTATGCGGAAAGACAGGGAGGTTAGCCAGTTCTTAGACCGGCTGGCTACCCTGTGCTGGGGAAAAGGGTGAGGGGAATGAAAGATGTTAAAAAGAAATGTTGCGAAGAGAGGGAGAAATTACAAAAAAAAATTGCGGCAGAGGAAAGGCAACATCAAAGAGTATAAGACACTAAAGTCTGTCTCTGAGGCCAGTTGTCCGCAAAAAGCACAGCAAAGCTTTCAAAGCCTTCTGGGCTGAGGATGGGCTCGGCCAATGACCCAGGATCCTTTGTTCCGACAAAGGCCGATCGTCTAGTCTATCCAGAGCTGCAGTGAGTTCTTGTCTTTGCACATTGAAATGGGTGCACTCACACAGAAGGTGCGCGATGGTTTCTTCGCAACTGCAGTAAGTACATGTAGGAGATGGCCATCCCAATGAGGTACAAAAAACGCACGACTAATGAAGCAGCTGTAGCCACTTATACTAGAGGCCCAGTAGATAAGCCTTCTCAAAATGATTCCATGCTGCAGCAAACATGACACTGCTGAAGTCCGAGGTGCTCAAAGCATTGCAGGTCGTCATCAAAAAAGAATGTTTCCATCTCCGTACGACACACTGCCCTATTTCCCATACGCTATACGCAAACTGTTTTCTTTGTTCATGAGAAGGTACCGACATTTATTTGATAAAATCAAGAAAGAGAACCAAGTCAAGCAGCATGTGAATAAAGATAAGGATACTCATGGTTCTTGTTATCATCACTTCAAATTCAACAGGGTCTCAGACCATGACTTGCTTAAGACTTAAGCCTCTGAGCTAATGATATTAAAATATTATAAGCTGCTACACTGAGACAGCAAGAAATATAAACTTTCAGCAAGAGATAGCACCAGCACTTGCAAGTGCTGCTGAAGATGTAATGTTTTCACTGTTTTTATGTTCAATTCTACTTTCCTCTCGACATATCTTCCACAACTACACAATACTGTCACATGCAATGAGCGTGAAAATGAACGTTCTAGTAAAATAGATCAGGCAGAATATGTATGAAAATCAAACTGACAACTTACTAGATAAAAAAGACACCCTCCCTCTGCACATTCTGTTGCTGCCAGCCTTCCATAAAAAAGCCAAAAGAAATTTTCTGGCCTGTCAGCAAGCATGCTACATGCTGGCAGAACACAGGACAAGTTATAGTATGTCCAAATTAAACTGACAGCCGTGCTCCCAAATGACAACTGCACACAGTGCAACTAAATTCTCTTAATCAAAAGTAGCAAACCACAATAATGACTGTGGTACATCTTTTATCAAAATGATCCAAATTTTAAAAAATATTACCTCACGGACACTTCAACCATAATATTTATCATCTGATATGGTACTCAAGGCGAGCCTTGCTTCACTTACCAGGTTGGTCACTCATGTTCTGCTGGCCTTCTTTGATGCGTTGCAAGATGTTATCCAGGTCAGCGTCCAGTCCCGCATCATCCATGTCCATCTGAACACCCCAGCCAACCTATTCGAAAAATTAGACATTATGCCCACAGTATGAGGCTAAGGCAGCATGGAACCTCCTTTCTCTCTCTCTCTCTCTCTCTCTCTCTCTCTCTCTCTTGTTTTCAAATATGAAGTTTGCCCAACAGCGTACACAATTAATATATAATGGAGCCCAATTTCCGGTATATACAGTGAACTCCCTTTAAGACGAACTCTGTCAAGACGAATTCTTGGTTTAGATGAACAACGTGGTGTGTTTGTTCGTTTTGCACAGACTCAATACAAAAAAAAATCTGCTTTTTGTTCGTTTTCCCACAGACTCAATGCAAAAAAATCTGTTTAAGATGAACTGTGCAACATGCCTCTTCTGTTAAGACGAACTCTCGCAGCTACCAACAACGATAAAGATTCTGCGCAACGAACATATAGTCTTGATGGAGGCATTCAGGTGAACTGAGAAAGCAAAATGAAAAAAAAAAAAAGCAAGATAAGTGCAAAAGGATGTCAGCACATAAAGCTGCTATCTCTCTCACCCCTAGCCTAGAGGTCAAACAAGGGCCATGCTACAGTTTTATTGTTAAAATGTAGCAGAAGTTTATTCATGAGCATATTTATTATTAAATTGTGAGATCGAGTACTCACTAAATTAGCCTAAATACTCCACTTGAAAGCGTAGTTTTTATCAAGGTGAGCCAATAAATGCTTTTCTTGTTCCTTTCCTCTTATTGTAGGTATACTTTATTCTGTGTTCTTAAGCAACATATTTAGGTGTACTTGGCATGTTAGCATTTGGTTTTTGGGGGTACTTCTGATAAATGAAGCCCTGATAAGCAAACAAATGATCGAGGTCTTTTGGGTTCGTCTTAAAGGAGTCTACTGTACATCAACCATACTCTATGATTTGGCCCACAGAGCCACGAATCATAGTCCAATGCTTTTGTCGGATGAACGCCCACTGTTTTCAACATAAATTATTACGCCACTTGGCCTATCGTAAAGCTAGAACCACGTATGGCGGCTTGTTGGGTTTAATCAGGTTGAAAATGCTTTTACACATGTAATTCCTCCAGAAAGAGAATACATATGCCAAACATTTATTTAAAGTTGTCTTTTCATACTTGCCAACTTAGGGACAATTGGAGAGCACTAAGAAAATGCTGTTGATCAGAAGTGATAGGCCAATAGTGATTCAGTGCTATACTGCAATAATCGATAGCGACTATACAGAAGTGGCTCACACAGCGGAAGATTAAAGGCAATCCGTGAAAAAGCCCGAAGCTTTCCAGCTTTACTGTCATTCCTTTATGGCTATGGTGGTACAAATTTGGCACTTAGTTTACAGTTGGCCTGCAGGGAAGCAATGATGCAAGTGTTCACAGGTTCTGCACTCAGAATGCTTCGAGATTCGTCTGAATGGGTTATTACGTCCTTGGCCAAATATGTCCACTTAGCTCGAGCTCCATGCAAGAACAATGCCTCCACTTTCCAAGAACGGTGGATGAATTATAATTACCAGAATTTCCTAAATTTTGTGCGCTATACATGAAATTTTGCTTCAATGATATTCCATGACAATGAATGCTCTCGCGAATTTTGTCAGTTTTTTTGCTATGAGATTTGCATGTACTCGTCATGACCGAGTGTAATGACAAGAGCGGCAAAGGAGCTTGGGCCCTTGTGCTCTGACAGCGCGAGAAAGGGAAAGACGTTGGAATAGAGCAGCCGGCCTAGCAAATGGACGTTGCGTCTATTTCTTCTTACAATTGACCGAAATATTTGAATATCTCAGTAAAGAGTAGGAAGTGTTGCCAAGAAGATTGCCATACCAAATACTGCTTGCTGTGCAAAAGTATTGGCAAAAAACCAAACTAATCACAAAAGATATTGAGTACCACATTTGAGATATACCGCATTTAGTAGCATACTGTAATTCCCGTACTTATTTTTGCGGAAAACCGATGAAAAGTTGGGGGAGGGGGGGGGTGCGAGAAATATGTGAGGAGAATTTTCCGCAAAACGTACAGAGCAAAAAAGAAAACAAGTATCCCAAATCGCAATTCTCACACTAGCAACTAGCCAGCAACAAACTACGAGCTTGGACACGTACTACTAGACTTAATTTAACAACAAAACCCCAGGTTCACACAAGCCAAGATTTGAGTCACAAAAGCTGCAAACAAAATATAGAGAAGTACCGTACGCAAAGCTTGCGGGTGTTGCGGGCATAGCGTTAGCGTTCGTCGCTGAACGGAGCTTGTGGAAGGTTAGCGTGCAACGTCACCTTCGGCTGATGGCCATCTAACACAAAATCGTCCACAGTTACCTTCTGACGAAATAAAGTTTTACCATCAATCCCAGTCATAGGCACACTGAAATCCCTGTGCGTCATCGTGGCTTTCAGCTGCCCGTGCTGCGGTCGCCAGTAGCAAACACAAAACTTGTCAACTCGAAAGTGCCATTGGCCCTGTTGCCATTGTTAGTGCATGATCAATCATTTTCAACAAGAGCTTTCGTATAGTCCCATAGCGTAACCACAGAAGGGACACAACGTACACTAACAGGCCGCAACACACACTGGCCGCTTTGGCTTGGCTGGCTTGAATTGAGGCTCGTGCGTTATAGTATGCATAATACTTAAGGGGAGATGGGGTCGAAAAACGCGAGTTTTTTCAAAATTACCGATTTTTTATTTTCGCCTGTTTTGATAAGATTAGTACCTGTACTGTTATGAAAAAAATAAACAGGTCGAGACTTAACTGGAAATGCTTTAAAATTGCATCTAAAGAGCACAAGGGCCTGTTGAAAGGTCGAAAGTGTGGAGTCTTCGAGCACCTTGCCGCCAATAATGCGCCGCCGCTCGCCATTGTTGATCGCAGAGTCGAGAAGAGTCGAGCCTCACTCTTCAAATAACATTAACAACAGTTTCTCTCGCTGACGCAGCGCAAGAATAATAAAAAGAAGCACTCTTCCGCGCATTTTTCGAGCGCCGCGACTGGCTTATCACATGGTACGAATCGGGGGCCGCCATTGGCCGCTGCGCGCCTGTATGTGCTGTGAAGCCTATTTGCGGGGTCCATGTCTTGTCGAGCAGCGCAGCTGAACAATGCCTTTCTCGTGTAATTATCTCTGTTATGAATGAAAAAAGGCATTACTCGCAAGTGAAAGCGGTTGTGCGGCGTGCTCTGTAGGAATAGGCTACGAGCATCTGGTCAGATTTGCAGCAGTTAATATGTTGGCTTGCAAAAGCCAATGCGTCAAAATTATTCACACCCGTCGGACGGAAAGTTTGTGATGCGGCAATGGATGACATCAGCGCCAATCTTGCAAGGTCGAAAGAGCTCGGAGTGAGAGAACTTAGCAGGGACGACATCGCCATTATGTACGACGGTATGTGGCACAAACATGGCTGCAAAATGGCACGACACTGGACTTAGTTTAGATTTCGCACTTCTGTCGAACTTCTTCCTAGCTTGCGGTTGCACAAGGCTCTACTAGATGGAGCGGATGTTTGGCAGGTGTTTCATGGCCCTGTCTGTGAGCGAAATGTCTGTGAGGAGTCGGCTCGAAAAAGCCGGAGGACAAACTCATGGTGCTGGCGTATTTTAGTCGCAGTGGCCATACTGGAAGGATTGTTCTTTTTGGTGTGCAAATTTCATTTGATTAAATGATATCTTTCATAAATAAAAACTGAATTTTAACTTTAAAACTCTTTTTTTTTTTTTCAAAACACAAATTTTGCCATTTTTTCCAATGTGCCCCTCCTTTTTCGGCACTTTTAGTGCTCGTCTGCATGAAATTTCGCCCAAATTTTTTCAAAGTATGACAAATTTTATTTAGTTTAAATTTCAATATTTTATTGAACAATAAAAAATTGTATGTATACCTTTACTAGAGTAGGTTGAAATATAAACTTTTTACCTTTATTATTTACACGGGTATTACATATTATGTATGTGCTTCCTAATTAGTTATTTGCACTCTAACTTTATTTGAGGTATTATCAACTATGAATGATAAAACATACAGAAGTTTAGGGATGAAAGAGGGGGGGGAAAGGGTTAAGGTTTCACTGTCATGTTGCAGAGCTAAAAGTGTGTAACTTGCAAGAAAACTAATTATTATTTGAAATCAGCATAAAAGGTTCCATAAACAGCTCAAGTTCATTGCTCTAGATAATAATAAAAAAAAGTGTCTTCTAGTAGCATCTCGCCTTAAGAGATGACACCAGGCTGTCGTGCACTGCCATCATTAGTGGTTGGAGGGAGCTGACGACATAACGACTGCAATATTCAGCGGTGCCATAATAACTCGCGGAAAAAAAATCGTATTTTTGCTGCGCAATGCGGGGGGTGCGAGAATTATGCAAGTGGGAGGATTACGCGAGTAAATGCAATATGCAAGTACCCACCTCATGTTTCACTGCACCCGGCTCGAACATATGCAGTGAGTCAGCCTGACGAGAAGGCTCCCCTAAATTTCCAATGCCCAGTTCGCCCAGTCCTAGACCCATGGACATGCCACCAGAGTTTCCAGGATTGCTGGCACTTCCATGACTAGGTGAAGGGCCGAGGTTGGGATCAAGGAAACCTGTGAGTGACGGTTCAGGTGACGGAGCACGTGGGGCACCACCAATGCCGCCTGCTCCCGTTCCCATGACACTTGGCAGACCGGCACCCCCAGGTGGGAACTGGCAAAGTAGCCCCGCGAGATCAGGGTGCACATGTAGGCATCGTGGGAGAACACATCACAGTGGATCGCTCGGCAAACAGCAGCACAAGGTTGGCAAAAGCTGTACGGTTCTCGGGGATGGCTTGTCATCTGAATGAAAAAAAAAATCATTTATTCTTCTCAGTGAAGGTGGGTGACCAGCAAAACTGCTGTGGCGTTTGATAAGACTTTACTGCCCTTTAGAAATCATAAAATATGTTGTTACACTCGCGTTACGCTTGTGTGATATGTGAATTTTAGGTTACAAGTGAGTTTAAGAGAATAATGATCTTGGTCGAATAATTTTGTTATAATCATTTTGGTCAAATAATTTCGAATCGAATTCGAATAGCACGTAAGTTGCATATTATTAAGAAAATGGATACATTTGTCATGACCTAACTAACCCTCACAATATCTTTCAAAGAGTGGAACAAGGCCTGAGCAAATGCCTTTCTTTAGGGTTCTAAGAAAGTGGAAAACTTTGAATAGTAGCAGGATTTGAGTTTCGATAGGATGCAAGCAATAACTTGTAAAACATGTTACATTTTAAAATTCGCTATACATAAAGCATATAAGTCAATAAAAACGAGATTTTAAACTTCAAAAATAAATCAATGTGAGAGCAATATTTTCATTTAACCTTGAAGTGGGACCTTGCGCTGCAATGCGGGCTTCCCCCAAGTACGTCTTTTCACAGCTTAGCACCCATCAATTGCAGTGAAACAACCTTTACAAAGGGGTTACATAGGGACTAATTTACATCCATTTCTTGGTTTCGAATACTTTGAATATTTATTTATTAATTCAAATTCGATTCAAAGTGAATTTTAATATTGTATAATTCATTCAAACATTTCAAACGTTCAAATATTCACACAACTCTATCATTTTGAGTAATTATGTGATTACATTGTATACTGTTTGTACAAATACAGAGATACACAATTCACTCTTCTTTGGCCGTCCGGTTCGCACATCCATGACCTCCCTCACACTGTGCTCTCTCTGTCACTCCTCATAGATATGCTACCCTTCATGCATATGAACTAAGCGAGCCTCCCTATAGAAACAGTGAAGTGAAATCGTATCCAATATTTCCCTTGTTTACCTTATCATGCATGCTATGCGCACTATGTCATACATTCACAGAGCATCTTAGACACAGCTGGTTGTTAACCTGAGCTAGGTCACATGTGGCAATGAGTGTTTGCTTTTGTTGCAGGCTCTTTCACTCCCACGTTTAAGGGGAGAGTTTTTTCATGTGGACACCATAAAATATCAATTCTTAGACAGGACAGCTTCACTGTAAAAAAAAATGCCTCTTCCAAGTTATATTTACCGATTGTCTAATGACTATGCAAAGAGGACCTTCGCTTCATGACAGTATATATTGTAACGATGTTGAAGGACTCGGGGGTGTAATAAAATGTATTTATTAAAGAGCAACCTGTGCGCACAACTCAAGAGACTATGGTCGTAGAACGTGACGGCCGAACACCAAAGATGTCCGCCTTCTTCTTCCTCTCCAAGAGAAGTCCCGAGCGCGTGGCGCACATCAGCCGGGTCCAGCTGGTGCTCATGCTATCATCGTCGTCTCTGCGCAACACTACACGGCGCGCATGTATGTCCCTGTGCGCACACAATGATGGGCGCCTTGTTTGAATGCAGGCAAGATGTCGTGGCATAATCCCCCTCCTCATACGCATCTTCCCGATGCGTCAGGCAATGAATAGATTCGTGGTAGGCATCACTGGTTTTCCGATGATCTTTCATAGCAAGGTTTCGTCCAGACTACATGTACAACCTCTGTAGGTTGGCAGCGTTTTGAGCTCCTGTGCATAGCGGATCTGACTTGGTACGTTACATCGCTTACACGATGGAGTACTTCGTAAGGCCCGAAGTATCGGCTAAGAAGTTTTTCAAAAAGTCCACGGCGACGCACTGGGTCTATATCCATACTTTGTCACCTGGTTAATAATGCGCTTCGTACGACGCTGATTGTACCGGTAGGAGTCGATACTCTGTTGGCGGAGTGTTGTGTATTTCGCCACCTGTCATGCTTCCTCGGCTCTTTCCAAGAAGTCGTCTAGGTCAGGTGGATTGCTGCTTTCATCATTCAGTGGTAACATGGCACCCAGTGGAGTGGTGACTGTTCGGCTGAATACAAGTTCAAACGGTGTCACTCGCATTGTTTCTGAAGGACTGTACTATATGCGAAAGTGATATAGGGCAATAACGTATTTACTCGCATAATCCTCGCACTTTTTTTGCCAGAATACTGATGCAAAGCTGGGGGGTGCGAGAATTATGCGGGGAAAACTTTCCACGAAAATGCAGAGAGCAAAAAAGAAAACGAAGTGGCCACAAATTGGGATTCTCATGCCAGCACTTACAGCAAGCTTTAAGAAGTACTAATTAGAACTTACCTCAACAATAAAAGCAGAGGTTCAACACAAGGCAAAATTTATTTGAGACACAAAAAGTGAAAGCAAATAGTCGAGAATTAGAATACCATACGTGAAGCTTGTGGGCGTTGCGGGCGTAGCGGTAGCAGTCGGCGCTCAACAGGAGCCCTAAAAGGTAAGCGTAGGACGTCAGTATTGGCCTGATGGCTATTTAACAGAATCGTCCGCAGTTTTCTTCTGAAGAAATAAAGTTTACCATCAATCCCAGTTTTAGGCACACAGCAGGCCCAACGTGTCTTGGTGGCTTTCAGCTGCCGTCACTATTAGCGAACACAAAACTCGTAGGCTCCGAAGGCCCTAACGGCGGCCCTGTTGCCGTTGTTTAGCGCATGATCTATCACTTGCAACTTGAAGCAGCCGTGTGGCTTCAGTATCACCCTATAACGTGCCAAGATTACCGACACAACATACAAAACACGCAGCGCGCACTGGCCACTTGGGTTCGGCTTGGATTGAATCGAATCTCCGTGCAATAGTACGCTTGATGCTTAAGAGATGGCGCCAGATAATGCACGCTATCATCATCAGTGGCTGGAACGAGCAGACGACTTTATTGCGGGAGTTCTCAGGGGTGCGATAATTGCTCGAGAGAAAAAAATCGTATTTTTCTTGGGCGATGTAGGGGGTGCGAGAATTATGCGAGTGCGAGGATTACGCGAGTAAATACGGTATTTCATCCCAAAGTTTATGTTCGACTTCGACATACATTGAAAGCATATCAGTCAGAGTTCTGTTCAGGCGCTCCGTTAGGCCATTTGTTTGAGGATGGTATGCCGTAGTTGTTCTCTGGTCTGTATAGGTCATTCGCATCAGACATTTCATTAGGTCTGCAGTAAAAGCTGTGCCACGATCTGTAATTACGAAGCTGGGTGCACCATGTCTGAGGACTATGTTGATGATGAAGAACTTGGCAACTTCAAGAGCTGTTGCACTGTACAGCGAGTCAGTCTCAGCGTAAAGAGTGAGTAGTCCGTGGCTACGACTATCTACTTTTTGCGTGCAGTCGATGTCGGAAACGGGCTTAGGAGTTCCATACCGACTTGTTGGAATGGGGCATCTGGCGGTTCTATTGGCTGGAGGAGGCCTGCAGGTTTCACGGATGGAGTTGTGCGTCTTTGACACTTACGGCAAGTTTTAACATAGTGCTGAACTGATGCTAAGAGTTTTGGCCTGTAGTATTTTAGATGAATTCTGGCGAATGTATGGCTGACACCCATATGTCCAGATGTTGGCTCATCATGACATGCATGCAGAATCTCGTTTCGTAAACGTTCAGGTACGAGTAAAAACATGCCACCATAAGGCTCGAAGTTCCTCCTGTAAAGGACCTCTTCTCGAAGACAGAACGAAGGGAGCCCTCTGGATAAAGTGCACGGGATTTCAACGTCGAGTCCTTGGAGATGCTGTATAAGCGGCAGCAAATCGGGGTCATTTCGTTGTTATTGAGCGATTTCTGATGCCTGGACGACGCCTAGAAACGGGAAGTCTTCTTCCTCTGGCTCTCTTGTCTCCACTGCTGCGCGTGAAAGGCAGCCGGCATCGCTGTGCTTTTCCCAGATTCGTACTCCACAGTAATATCGTACTCTTGTAGCCTAAGGCTTCATCTTGCTAGTCGGCCAAAGGGATCCTTGAATTCACCAGCCACACAGGCAATGGTGGTCACTGACTGCTCGGAATGGCTTACCGTAGAGGTACGGCCGAAATTTACTTATGGCCCAGATGACCGCGAGACACTCTTTTTTGGTTGCAGAGTAATTTGTCTCAGCTTTTGAAAGCTTGGGGCTGGCGTTCGCTAGCACTTTTTCTTGGCTTTTTCTTGTTTGAATGCAGGCAAGATGCCGCGGCAATATGTATATCTCACGAACTTGCACGTGAAAACACCATTGCCTGAGGCAGATTAGACTGTGGTAAAGTACACAAGAGACTGAAATTTCAATGTGGTTGGCTCACCCACAGCTTTGACCAATCGAATGAAAAGTATCAGCATTAAATTATTCACTAGACCAAGGTTACAAGCCACTTGCGCTTCAACGCAAATGTACTGAGCCAGGTCACTTTAGTGAGCAAAATAAAAATGTGTGCCTCTCATTTAAGCTTGCCTTTACTGTGCATGTTTTAATATGAATAGTCCCAGTTGAGTACTCCACCGTGTTGTGCTTTTCGCAGACGTCTCTACTAGAGCACTGAAACTAACTGCATTTACCGTGTTGTTGTGATTTCTTTATTGTCGTGCTTAGTTCGCATCTGAATTATGCAAAGCTGTCATAATCCGAAATAAACTTAGTTTCCATTCGCAGGTGAACCACTCTCAAGCACTTATCCCACAGCATTGTTGAAATCAGCCTGGCGAAGATGGCTGAATCACTCGCCACGACGCTTCGCTGCAACCTCCAGTGTACCGCTACATTGACCTCAAATAACATTCGGCAAGGAACAAAATTTAACCGTTTTTGCGTTCTCAGGCTAGTCACCCTTCCATTTTGTGCGATGGCTGCACACAATAAAGAACAATCAAATGTGATAACGAAGGGTGGGCGCAAAAAACGGCTTCACTTCAGTATCACTCAGAGCCACACACAGGTGTTCATGACCCTAGGCATGGTGGCCGGAAGTAGTGCCTTCTCCGCATTGCCCGCATGCTGTGCTTTTGGAAAAAAAGACATTATAAGCAAGGTAGTCAATGTAAGGAGCAGGTGCGTACCAAGGACAGGGGCTTCCATGTCAAGGAAATTGACGAGCAGGCTCTGAAATATAGGTAAACCAGTGGGTGCCATCCCAGAGTCCTGAGAATCCTTCTCGTCCACCAGGTCGGCATCATTGTACTTCTGAAAAGTGAATCAGTTACTTAAAAACAAGCACCAACATATACACTTAATGCACGCAACAGGCTATACCAGTGCTTGTCTTTTAAATCACGCATTGTCTTCTGTTTTATGAAAAGTAAACACGGAAATGTACAACAGAAGAAATTTGCAAGAAAGCTCTTTTAGCTCTATTTGATGGAGACAGAAGAGCTGTTAGCGGCAGAGAATTATAATGTTATGAAAAAAATGGAACATTTTTACTATGTCTGCACATGAAATTCTAAATTGATTAAGTTTACTTTTCTCTCTCGCCTTTTCTATGAAGATACTACATACATATACATAGCTTATTGGGGGGGAGGGGTGAACATAAGGACAGGAATATGCAGATTATGTCCTCAATATTTATTGTCGCACAATGCCTACCACATTGTTTCGCATCTTAATATAGTATGAGCAGGAAAGGGTTATCTCCCAGTGGCATACATCACAAGCACTTCTGCAAATGGGAGAGGTCAAGCTGGGATTTTGATGTTGAAGTTAATGTAAAGCTCAGATATAGCTCATGAATGTTCAAAAAGCCACAAGTTCCGTTCAAATTGGTTAACACATCCATTTCCTAGTAGCGCACAGAGTTTACTCCAGATAATTGTGATATGCTGATTAACATTGCAATTGATTGATATGTGGGGTTTAATGTCTAAAAATCACCATATGACTATGAGAGATGCTGTATGGAGAACTCCAGAAATTTCTACCGCCCGGAGTTTTTTAACGTACAGCCAAATTTGAGCACAGGTGCATACAGCATTTTCGCCCCCATCAAAAATGCAGCTGCCCCAGCCGGGATTCGATCCCACAATCTGCAGATCAGCAGCCGAGTACCTTAGTCACCAGACCACCGCGGCGGGGCCTGATTAACATTGTAAATTTTTCTGTTTATAAAAAAGTCTTGCTCCAACAAGGGAGATGGAATGTTCAATCTACAAATGTCGGTGCATGCTTGAAATTAGCACACACATATACATAACAAGTTTCATCAAAATTGATCAAGAATTTTTTAAATATTTAAGTGACAGTGTCCCCATTAAACTTATATACTACATACACAGTTTGTACACAAGAGAGAACTTTGGCTCAAGTGTCTATGAGAGCTGCAATGTACGTTGTTTCGGCCAGTATGGGAATTATGGGCAGTGCACGGATTTGCCTAATCATCGTTCTTTTTTTGGCTCCGTTTGGCTCCGTGTGGTCTGAAACTGCTTTGCCGCAAGACTAAGTTCAGCAAAGGTTTAGCAATTATGTTTCACCACCGTGACCTTTTTATTTAGGTTCACCAATTCAAATTAGCTCACAAGGGTCAAAACAGTCTGTTATTTTATTTGAAACAAAAACCAAAACACAGCAATAAACAAAGCCAAAAGTGTGTTTGAAGCCCCCAAGCACGGAGACTAGGCAAGTCTATATACTACCCATCATTCTCATGGTGGATGAACGATCGCAGCACCAGAGTTCCCTCTAAATTTTTTTTTAAACTTCATGATACTACTTTTGTCAATTTATGCTTTCTTCAATTTATGCTTTCTAATGGCAATCAAACCACTATTAATTTTCCTTAAGTCTTGATACGTGTCAGCGATGTAAACAATTACAAAGTTCAAACTGCACACCCTCGCAATGTATAAACAGCCCTTGTTAGGGTGCATCTGTCACCAATGAGAACAACCTTTCTGTAACATGAAGACTAAAATGTGTTCACAAAGTGCACATATAATGCTGGTGAAAGAGGAGACATAGTGTCACAACTGCCCCCGCTCACTTTTTGTTTGGTTACTGCACAAGTTTTCCAAACAGATTTCGTCTATGGTGCCATACAGCCCATCATGCCACTGATACCACAAAGGCACTAGTAATTAAAAAATACTACTATGCACATTCTGTTTTCCATGAGACACTCAGGAAAAACAATATGGCTCAACCAAGCGTATGGCCTGGGTACCTATGGCCCCCAAGTATCAGCCACAGCCAACCACAACTAACTCTCCCACCCTCCCATTTCAGCCAACTATGTCCCTGACGGTGAGTAAAAACAAGAGAGAGCACAAACCTCTATGTTGAGCTCGTTCTGACGCTTCTCAAGTAGACGTGCCACGACCAGGGCCCTGTGTTCGCCACTACGTTTAGTTGTGACGGCCCACTCGCACAAAAGTCGCACAATGGGCTCATCCTGCAAAGGAGTGTGGACACCTGGGGCCCCAACACTTCTGCATTGCTCCCAGACCCTCCTGACCCCACCCCATGGCCAGGACTTGCACCAGGTGTAGAGGCCGCAGGCGGGGGCTGGTCACCACTTTTGGCAAACACTTTGGAGTAAAGTGTGTCCAAGGAATTGGTGGCATCTACTCGGTCAAAGCTATGCCTGTCCAAGGCATCTAGGACGCCCAGCACCCGTGTAATGGTTGTGCCTGCATCATGGCAATGTGTGATGCATGTCTGAGAACACCGCAAGCCAAATATGTGGCCAGCAGATCTTCACTTATGGGAGCGCATAATGCTGAAATAAGAGCGGTGCCTTGGCATTAATCAATCAATTGATCAATCAAGCAACAGAACTTTTGACTTCTGTGTCTAAAGGTATAATGCCGGATGTTTCAAGGAACGTGTCCAAAAATCCTCAAATTAAAGAAACTACAATACTGAATAGGGCTGCCCTATCTTATACAATCCTTTAAGTCAAGCAAGACCATGAAATTATATGTCTAGAGACCATTCATCCACAACAGAAAAATAGACATGCATCATGCTGCCAAACGACAAAAGACCCTTTTCATGACTATAAAGTTGGCTTTCCTGCAATGTAGTTGGCCACAACTAATGGCACCTAGTCACACCTACAAAAAGCATGTTCAAGCACAGTTTGATTTCACTACAAAACAGAAAATGTAGACTCGGACCTCTTGATATAACCACGCTAAGACAAGCCCCAGCAGTTGTAACTCAAACCTGATCCCTACTTGAAGGATGACAGGTGTCACCATTCGTCAAGCAAATATGCAGCAAAGGTAAGAACTCCTGCAGATTATAAAAAGGGTCAATAATCAATAAATAAATGCTCAATGAAACAGAAGTTCGAATAGACATGGTGGTGTGCTGTTCCGATCCATCTAAAATTTTTTTTTATTTTATCTTAGACGATATACGAGTTCTTAGAGCGTGTAGGTGGAAAGTAGATCAAGTGACCAAGGAAGCAGCCAGTGCACCGTCTTCTTAGATACATTATAGCCGAAGGATTCTGCGCAGAAGAACCGCTCAGGTACAGTGCGTATTAAACGATGCAGCAAACACTCACCAGCGGCCATTTGCTGCCACTTGTCACATGACCAGTGCATCTCGGCTGCCCGCCCTCGCTGAATCACCTGCTGCTCCACTCGACGTAGCTCTTGCCGCACTTGCTGCTGATCTGCGATCTTAAAAGGAGACTGAAGAGAAATGCTCACATCAGTTTATGTACAAGTTAGTATTCATTTTAATGTATATTAGTTAACCATTTTGCACAATTTACTTAAAAATTAATGCATCATAAACATATGTACACCTTATATAGAAGTATTCTTCAGAGCTGTGTGAATAGCAAATATTTGGGTGCAAAGCAAATTCAAACATTAAAGTGTGAGTGCTAATCAAGAAGGACATTTTGAAATATTTTAAGAATATTTTTCATATTCTTCGAGACAAAATTGCAGAAAAAGAAGCTGGGCGGATTCCTAAGCATATTCTTACAAGATTCTTAAGCATATTCTTACATGAAGGTAATTATTTTGGCTATGTTGATGAAGTGCTGGCGGGTAGTGTTTCACATTTGTCTTGCAAAGGATGAGGCAATGCAGAAGTTAAATTGTACTTAATTGTACTTATGTACATGATTTGGTACAACCAAAGTGTTACCGACCACACTTTACACGCGGAAGGCAAAGATGCTATGTCGTCAGCCTCTCCACACTTTCATCTTCTACGGAACAATCTGTGTGGCGGAACATGTGCAATAGTTTCGCTTACGTCGATTACCACTACTTGTTGCACACCCAGCCACCCACCACAATGATGACTGTGTCGGCAGAGTGTAAGATCATAAATGCAGTTGTCTACTTCATGGCTCAAAAATGTTTTTTCGTTGTTTCTATTGCTTTTAAAGTTAATTTTTTGTACTGCTCCGTATGTGAGCATTTTTTTGTGACGCCATCTATTGGAGACCATTCGTCGCATTAAAGGCCCAATTTCAATAGTACAAGGAAATAACTGCAGATTTGACCGAATCTATATCTGACAAAACATACATGACTGAAAATTAAACAGATACTGAAGGAAACATTTTGTGGGCTCCCATCAGAAGTTCTCAAACTAAGTTCTAAAGAACCCAGGACTTCTGCAAATGGTACATCGGGGTTCCACAAGCGATCACTATGAATCGGACAGCTTCCCGTTTTTCTCCATTAACTTCAACTTAAAGAAAAAATTACATGCATCTCAGTTTCCCAAAACCAGCATGCACCACATTCACACCTCAGTAGTGTGGGCAACAACACATGGCACAGTCATGTAAGACCCATCACATACAACTTGCAGCTTGTGATAATTTGGCAGGCAAGTAACACAAGAGTATGAAGGGTAAACCTTTCTTGTCATTATAGTCACAAGATTTTTCACTTTCTGAATACCACATTGACCCCACAAATTTAAATCTGTTTGTCAAGCTTGGGCTATTGCAGCTATGTATATTTTTGAAACTCTCCCATGCTTAGTCGGACTTTCATAGAAAATGTAGTTAATTTTTGGCGATTTACAATTAGCTACTGAAGGACATGACACCACGAGCACTCATGGTAGACTGTCCTCGCTTCTTGGTCCATGTTTATTTGCACCATAATTGGTGCAAATAAACATGGACCAAGCCAAACATGGACCATAAGCCTCTCATGAACTGTTGCTTTATTAGAGATACAGAATGGGTAAAAAGGATGCAGCATATTGCAAAGCTTCAGCTTACAATATGTCACTGTCATTGTCACTTCAGCCTATTTTCTGACCACACCCTCCCAATGATCTCTATTTAACCATAGTTTCGTATACATACACTAGAGGAAACTCTGGCACTAGTGTCATGGAGCTTCAACGCATGGCGCATCAGCGAGCATGGAAATCATGGGTAATACACGGATTTGCCTAGTCTTCATGCTTTACGTTCCTCTTAGCTTCGCGTGCCTTGAAGCTGCTTTGTAACAAAACAACAATCAGCGAATGTTCAGCCGTCTTCACCATCTTAATTTTTTTAGGCTTACCATTTTCAATCAGGTTACGAAGTTCAAAAGTATTCATTCTTTCCTTCAAAAGAAAATTGAAACACAGCAATAAACGAAGTCACAAGTGCGATTCGCCGCCAGCAAGTATGATGACTAGGCACAACCGTGTACTACTCATCATTTCCATGGTGACCGAACGATCGCAGCGCCAGAGTTCCCTCCAGTTAATTTTAGGAAACTATGCATTTAAGCCCATCTTGTGCAAGTCGGTTTCATTTTCCTGCCATTCTTGGTTATGCTTGCCATCTCTCAATATCCATTCCACCACTCTAAATGACCATCAGTTATCTGTCCCTCACATTACGTAAACTGCTCATGTCAGTTACCTCTATTGGTTCTTTAATTCACTCTGCTCTCTTCCTGTCTCTCAATGTTGTGCCTATTGTTTGAGCTGATAGCACAACGAGCTAAGCTCAACACCACCAGAGCAGACAAGTTGACACCAACACAAGAGGCACGTTTCACCAGACCTCATTTTACATCTTCTCAGCCAGAGGCATTTTCTCGTGATCAGTAAATACACACATCACGCAACCAGATCTCAAGTACCTATCAGAATGAAACATACCTGGCCACCAAGAGACTTCGGCGGCATGGGCAGACACGATGGTGGGCATGGTAGCAAGTCCAAGGGACTGCCGTTCAGAACGGGATTTCCCTTGCCTTCACCAATGCTGTTCCACACAGAGCGGTAGGGCACTTCAGTGTGATGTACTGAATAGAAATTTCGAAAGGAACGCAAAGTTGCACTTTTTTCAATAAGCTACACAAATATTTACAGCACCAAAACGGGAAAAAAGAAGCAGTGCTAACCTGCACAACTACCGATAACTGGAGAACAATAGAACGATGATGAGGACAGCTGAGGCATTCTGCAAAGCTTGCTGCCAGAGGACTGATGGGGAGGATTTGGCACTGGAGACACTGTGTTTCTAGGAAGGAAGCAATCGACATTCTAATGTTAGGGTTATTTAGCAGTACTGATTTAGTTGATCTATACGGACGTCAAATGTGATAGATAGTTTGAAAAGTGAAGAAGAACAGAGGTCCCCACATAAGCGCTTCTTGAAGTACACGTATCGGTATTACCAAGGCAGCCTCGATTTACTCACCGCCATTCGTTGTAACTGAGTTGACAGTTGTGACTGGACTCTGGCTCCTCGAAGAGCTGACTGTGTAGTCCACAACCAGCTGGCTTAGCTTCTTGGAACAGTGATAAGCCAGACGCCGTGACAGCAGCTCAGAGCGAGAAAACTCACCACATACTGTGAACGGAAAAGGGAGAAACAAAACGATGATGCCGTTTAAGGATGGAAAAAAAATGCTTCAATTATGATAGTCCCCAACACGAAATTTTAGTGCACCTGCACACGTGTTTTATTTCACAATACTCTGGATGGCCCAGACAACGTCACGTGCAGCATGTTGCAAATGGAGACACATGCAGCGCCACTGCCTCAAAACTCTAGAGCACACAACAGCTGTGACTCGCAACAGCCGCAGCTGAAAGACCTCCTAGTAGACATGCACTAATCTGGTGTCATTTCATAGCTTTGTGCAGCACTCTGGTTTCCTCCTCACCCTTTCACAGTCCTTCCTGCATTCCACGCTCATAGTGTTGTGTGACATTTCTACCTCTCAAAACTCCATGCTCACTTTCATCTCTCGCCGTGTTAGTACTTTTGTATATGACAAGTGAGGCACTCCAGCCATCAAGGCAAGAACAGGCACCAAGGAGTTCCACTTTAAAAATTTGCTGAATAGAACCCACTTGTTCAGCAGTGGGTCTTCAGTGCTGGTACAATTATAAGACCACAGTGCACCATCAACTATAATATAGTAAAATATTTGTAAATACACTGTGAGGAATGAGAGGGAGTGCCACGGGGTCGGGTATAGTTGACGGTCGAGGAACGAGGTGGCGGGCGAGTGGGGTTGTGTAGGGATCTCTGAGGCTGTGTATAGCTGACGGTCGAGGAACGATGTGGCGTGCGAGTGTCACGTGAACAGTGAAGGGGCGCCTGGGAAGGAGGGAAGCGGGACATGGGTAGTCGGGATGTGGCACAGGGAATAAATGGTTGTGTGAGCACGGTTGCCTGTTGTCAAGTGTATCGTCGTACGTGAAAAGTGGGGGCTCGTCCGGATCGACATGGCAACCGGAATGGACAGCATGAATGTGCCGAAAGAGCTGCTGCAGCAGTTGCTTGGACAAACAAAAAGCTCCGCCATACAACGCGAGCAAATCGCGACTGCCATCAGACAAAGGCTTATGACAGCGGAGCCCATGCCTGCAGGCGCCATGACAGCAGCGGCGGCGGCGATCCAGCTGGTGATTTACTGTGCTCTCCAGGCTTCGGGAAGTCAGCTCGCCCAGCCCCGGTTCGCTGGATTCGGCGACACCCAATCACCCGAAGAATTCCTGGACCACCTCGAGGCCTTCTGTATGGTGATTGGTGTCGCCGCCGACAAAAGGCTTACGCATATCGTGCCTGCTGCACTCGAGGGGGGCACGGCATTGTAACTGCGCTTCGTCAAATCGTTCGCGTTCTGGGAGGACTTCAAGGCAGCGTTCGTTGCAGCATTTTCGTCTATTGATGCGAAGCGGCGCCTGAGGCAGGAGCAGGATAATCCACGACCCAGCACGATTAAACGATTGCAGACTTTCCGGGGACTTGCTGATTATTACCACAGCTTCATACCGCATTTCTCACTGACGGCACATCCACTCACTGTCCTTCTGAAGAAAAGCGAGCCATGGCAATGGGATGACGTAAGGAGGAAGCCTTCGCTGTGCTTAAGCAGTCCTTGGCTCACAATGCAATTATGAGCCTTCCGGATCTAAATCGACCCTTCGTGGTTGATACGTATGCAAGCAGCATTGGCATTGCAGCTGTCCTACTGCAGGCTGGCCCCGACAGACTGCAGCCCGTTTCCTTCATTAGCAGGGTTCTCGCAGAACCCGAAAGCCACTATACTGTTTAGGAATGGGAATGCCTGCAGTGGTGTGGGCTGGACAAGTTGTGGGCGTATATTGAATTTACAAACTTTGAGATACACTGCAACCACTCGTCCTTGTTGGGATGTTCAGCACCGACCAAGCTTCGTCCAAGGTCAAACGCTGGGTCCTCCGGTTGCAGGGTTTCAATTGCTGTGTCAGGCACAGACGGGGGCTGGCAAATATACCTGCAGATGCCCTGAGTAGAGCCCCCTTTGATGTGAGGACCGTCCCAGCGACAGCTTGTACGAGAAGCTGCTTCCTATTGCTGCACAAAAATCTGAAGGGAAAATTACGTTTGAGCAAGTGGCAGTTGCCTTGGAAGATGACGACTGCCTTAAGTGACCCTGTGCAACTCGTACAAGAGCAGGCTCGTGGCAGCCGTCTTTCAAAACTGAAAACTATGGGCCAGGGGGTTATGCTTCCAAATTCAGACCCTGATCATCGCCTTCTCCATGATCTGGCAGAAACAACAAAACCAGAGCCAAGTGGCCTGCTTGTTCAGCAAAGAGGCAACAAGAAGGTACCATGGCTGCCCTCTCACCTCCAGCACCTGGCATTGAAAATGGCGCATGACCTTCCCACTGCAGCCCACGCTAGATTTTTCAAAACCTTGAGACGTGTAGCGGCACGATTTGTCTGGCTGAGCATGCGGGCAGACATATCAAAGTATGTGCAGGGCTGTGCTATATGTCAGCAAACAAAAGCTCGGTGCAAAAGCCTGAAGGCCTGATGAACAGTCAGTGGACAACAGCACTCATGGAGGAGCTTGGCGTTGACATTATGGACCCTTGCCATCTACACCTCGTGGCCACAGATGCTTGCTCGTAGTCATTGACAAGTTCACTTCCCAGAGCTATTCCCTGTGCGATCAGCAACCAGTACAAAAATACTGGAGTGTATGGTCAAAGTCTTTTGCCGCCATAGGACACCAGTGGCAGTCACCAGTGACAACGGGAAGCCCTTCGTCAGCACATTATGGCGCAAACTGCTGAAACACTGGGGAATCAGGGATCGGCATACTGTGCCTTACCGGCCGACTGGACAGAAGGTGGAACATCATGATGGCACAATTAAACAGTGCCTACGAGCATACTGTAGTAACCACAAAGACTGGGACCGTCATAAACCCGAAATCAGCCTTGCCATGCGTACTGCAGAAAGCGTAGTCACCGGATATACTCCAGCATTGCTTTGCTATGGCAGAGAGTTGCACACTCCGTGGGAACCTGCAGGGGACAAGGAGCACATGGAACCTCTAGAGGCAGCGCCGCACCATGCCCTTGCTGCAGAACTCCAGCAGTGCCTTGGAGAAGCCCTGAAGTACACCAAGAAGCATAAAGCAGCTGCCTGGCAGACCGAGGTCATTTATGATCGTAATTGACAGTCAACAACCATCAGAGAAGGTGACCTTGTGCTCTTGGACACTTATACCTTGAGTAATGCAGCCAACGATGTTTCGGGAAAGTTGGCCCCGCGGCGAGGTGGACCTTATCGTGTGGTCAGGCAGGTTGGTGAAAATGACTTCATTCTGGGTGATCCAGTTACACGGCGTCGTCGAACCATTGCCAATGCTGATCAGTTGGTACTGTACCATGAACCATTGCTTCTCCCTTTCCCCCCGAAGTCAGGATTCGAGGGGGGGGGGAGAGTGTGAGGAATGAGAGGGAGTGCGGGGGGGGGTTGGGTGTGGTTGACAGTCGAGGAAGGAGGTGGCGCACGAGTGTCACGTAAACAGTGAAGGGGCACGCGGGAAGGAGGGAAGCGGGACGCGGGTAGTCGGGATGTGGCACGGAGAATAAATGGCTGTGTGAGCGCGGTTGCCTGTCGTCAAGTGTATCGTCGTATGTGACAGCACATTATAATGTAAAAAAAAACAATGCAATGAATTGCTGAGGTCTTACGTCCTTCCTGAGATACATGAAGGCGAAATCCTTTTCACCTTCCTTGCCCCTTCATTGCACCATTCTTTAAATGTTTAAAATATCAACCAAACAGTTTTTTTTAAACAAGTTATCTGAAATCTTCAGTGCTCTACATCAAATTAATTTGCCTTTCTTTTTTTCCACCATAGAGTAGCAAGAAAGTATTTGCTAGTGGCATTTTTGAAACCAAACATCTTGGAAACATGAATGTGTAACAAATTGAGTGTGGCAAAGGCAACAGCACTGGTCCACGCATTGACATTTTATTCCATCCGCTATACATGCCATCTACGAATCTAGCCTAAGTTTTCATTTATCAATGGTATCCTCCAAAGTCTAAACATCATTACATCTCCTATAACAACTAGTCAGCCTTCATTTCTGCACCACGGTTAATTTAACAAAAAAAACAATAAAACATTATTTCAGTAATAAGTTAATATACATAGTAATTATTTACCACTAAGCGAGTGCTGCGCACAAACAAAACTTTACTCCAACTCATCAACGATTAATATTATAAAGATACGATCACCACTTGTGAAGTTGTTTGCACCTTGTGGCACACATCGTGGATAGGTCGCATTTTGTTTTAACTGCCGCCGAGCGGAAGGTGGTACTGGGATCGTGCAGGTTAGGGGCAGTGCAGTCTGGCGGAGAGGCCAGGCCGGCGCAAGCGAAAGAGTGGAGAGTCTCTCGGGCGTTTGGCAGCTATCATGAATGGACGTCTCCTGCAAAAGCTCCGCTGGCGAAGCCAACCGCGGGTCGTGTGTATCCCACGTAGTGAGTCGAACATTGGCGACGCCGCATTTGCGGCACCTTGTACTTGTTATATTTCTCGAGTGTTGTATTGGAACATTGTATAAGGTTGTTTAGCATTAGCGATGCGCCTGATTCAGCTGGCGATGTCGTCATAAAAGCAAATAAATTAGTGTACACATTTTTGTTGTCCGACCACGCCATCTGTTTCCGTGTGTTTAGAGAGCTCTCTGCAAGACCCCACACAATATAGGCTTTGCCTGAAGTTTTTATCACTTAAATTAGTATTTTGAGGTACTTAAATCCGCGTATCGAAAATTGCACTCTGGTTTATGTCTAGAAACTATGACATACCTGCAATGTGAGTGGCATGACAAGCTTCAAGATGGGGTCATCTGGAGTCTTGGTCTTCTCAACCAGCTCTAAAATCCAGCTGAGAAAGTCTTGGTGATCTAGTAGCCCTTCCTGCCAATGAAGAACAAGAAGAAAATTAATTGCAGGAAAACTTTATTTGGTGAAACGTATGTAAAACTATACTAATCAATTGGCTCTGGTCAGAGTAGCTATTTTTTAGCTCGTTACATAAGTAGAGACAGGGCAATGTTATAAGATGATCCCTTTTCAAAACGCACTCCCTACACTCAAGGGTGTGGCACGCCAACGAGCTTTGTTCACGCAATTCCCAGAAATGGTGACTTCCCCGCTTCCTTTATCAAGTCTACAAAGGTTCTATAACTATGCACGACACGTGGCTGCCAGGCTTCATTTTATGAATGTGAGAATTTCTATCAAAAGACCGATGAAAATTTTTTGAAAGATGTTCGTGTATTAAGTCAGTGTACTGTAAAAGTCCACTGAGACCACTCGATAAAGAACAACTGACGAGGAACCACTCATGAGAATCACCAACAAACTTCCTTTGATCTATGCGAATAATGGAAAGCAAGAGCTGCTTCAGTACTTATACGTAAAGAAGCAAGGAAATTTCGGGTGGTGTAACTCCTGTAAGTACGGGAGTCGGCAGGCAACCAAAAGCATGACAAAAATACCATGCACCGGCAAAGACGCATCAACTAGCGACACCTAATGGAGCAGCGGTCACCGAACTGGAAGACAAAAAGCAAAAAAATGCAACGACTGGGCAAGTGCATTCACACTTCGTCTCTGCAATGTGTTTTTTAGGCTTGTACGAATATTTGAACGATTCTAATATGCGAACAAATATTACAGCATTCAAATTCGCTTCAATTTGAATTTAAGTTAGCAGCAATTTTGAAATATTTGAAATGAACAAAGAGGTGCATTTTAGTATGCGTGTGATCGTGTAAAGGTGGTTATACTTCAGTGGAGGGGTGCTAAGCTGTGAAAATACCTATCAGAAAAAATCTGCACAGCTGCAAAGCTCCACTTTAAGTTTAAATGAACATACTACCATTACATCAATTCATCATTATTTAAGTTTAAAACCTTGTTATACTGGCTTACATGCTTTAAGTTTATTGAATTTTAAACCATAACATATAACAGGTTCTTAGTTGCATTCTACCAGAAGTCAAATCTTGCTACAACACTCAAAACTTGATGTAACAAATTATCAGTTATGACGAAGTTATTTTTGTTCTAGATGTGACTGTTAAAATGAGGTTTGAGTGTATACAAAGTTGGTTCCACTTCCTTTGAACTGAAAAAGATGGCATATGCAGAGGCCTTGTCTCAATTTTAAAATAGATTGTGCAGGTTAGTTGGGTCTTTACAACATGTGATATATACTGTTGAAATTCAATTCAAAATTATTCAAATCAAATCACTACTCACTTTAATTTCACCACGAACCTAAAGTTCACATGGCCGCCAGGAGGCATATAGTCACGAGATTGGAAACGAGACAATAGTTGCATAAGCTGTTCCAACTATCACGATGCGCCCTGAAAAGTTATCAAAACGTTAGCAACTATAAATAAGAACCTCCACAAGGATTACATTTCGCTTTAAGTAAAGTCAATTTTGTAATTTTTGCGCAGCTACCGTCACTGAGATTTCACATGTTGCACTAACTTAAAGTTTAGGAATTACCTTTACTAGACAAATTCCACTTGCTGCAAATGTCATTCACTATGCCTGTGCAGCAGCATTAAAAACAGCATTAACACATAATCACATTTGCTGCCCATGACTTCGCATGTACCTTTTAATAACTGGGGTGTAACACGAGACAGCGCAAGCAGGCATACTGACCTCGTAGAGGTGCGAGGCCAGGTTGGTGCAGTAGTGCCACTGCTTGGCTATGGTGGTGTCAGGAGGAATGCTGGGAGCAGCTGGTGTAGCCACAGGGGACCAGGGCTTGCCCCACCTCCGCCACCAGGGCCACTTGGTGTAGTTCCACCTGCTCCCTGAGGGGTGGCGGTGGGCCTGTAGGGTGGCTGTGTTCTACCAGCTTGTGCAGCAGCTCACGCAGAAACTTGCACAATGATGCAGTCCACTCTGAAACGAGCAAAAGGACAAATCTTCATGACAAGATCTGCAGCAATATAGATGACTCATGTATTTAAACAACCTTTCATGCATACTTGAGATAATAGCTTGTGCCAACACAGAAAACTTACACATAGGGATGATGAGTTAAGCTAAGCTAATCAATCACCAGAGTACTTGCCTTCTGTCTTAGGAATACCTCTCTCATTTCTTGGTGCAGCTGACTGTAATTAGAAAGCTTCTCAATCATAGTCTCTTGTGAATTTGATGCACAGCAGTGCAACACTCATAGTAACTTAGCAGTTTCACTTCAAATGAAAGAACTGCTTTTTGGCAGTAGACAGCAAGATTACAAAGACTTTCACATGCAATTACACGTGAAACCACATTGAGCCTGAATGCATTCATACGTACTGACAAAATATTCTCAGCTATATTACACCAAAGCGATATTGACTCAAGGTACGATATTGCATGTTTCATGTGAAAGATTGGACGTGTATACATCTCCTCATGTCCTGCTTCTACTTTTCATCTTAGTACACAACAGTTCAATTTGCAGCTTCAAAGCATTTTTTGAAAATGTTTGCCCCCATAACACACAATCTAGTACTTTGTAAATGGAGGCTAGCATACTTTTTGTTTTCAGCTTCAAACAAGGTCATACAATGTGCAAGAAGTGTTTAAATGTTAATGTACATGCAATTACACTATAAACATAATATATAGTTACTAGTAGCATGAATAATAAAATAAGTGGTGATGCTGGGTTGAATAAATGCAGCATGTCCTTCAGACTACACTCTGAAGCAAGATCACGATAGAACACTTTGGTAATGCAAGAAAGCATTCAGACGGGAGACCTTACAAAGCGGGTATTTTTAATATGCCACATTTACACACAATAAAGTAAATGTACATAGCGTACCTTGGCACGGGTCTGGAAGTTGCCTCTTCTTCATTTTTGCCTCAGAAATGGCAACGTGATAAACTGAGGTCATTTTGATAAACCAAGCAGCCCGAAGCATGGGCACTGAGAATTCGAACAGTGTCAAGAATATTTCTTCCTTTTTGTTGAATATGGGAACCTGGGCAGGAACAAGCCATACAGTGAAGTAGAAAAAAATCATAAGAATAAAGTGTTAATTAAACTTGTCTGGGCTGAATGTAGTAATAGATATCAACTGTATCATTTACAGAGCATCAGATTTCAGAATAGCTGATGTAGTGCCCTTCCTTAATGGCAGAAAAGAACCCCCAAAAGTGAGCATGACAAAAAGCACCGAAAGGTCTGAACAGCTTTGCATATGTAATCACATATTCAAGAGATAAAACGTAAACTTACTTTACGAAAACCAGATGCAATCTTTCTACGCGTTCTGCCAAAACAGTTCATTCATGCAATTAAACTAATGTATGATCATCAGCAACCATACCCTAATGCAATGGGAACACAATGTAAAGATAGTCATAAAAGAAAGTCTATCTTATGCAAAAAATTTGGAGCCTTTGCTTAGCATCTTTTTCTCAAAACATTTTACTCGCAACCATAATTTACATCCTCATTCACCAAACTATCGCACATGCAACCAAGCGCTCCAAGACACTTGCCTTCTTTGCCAGGCTTGTAAGTGGTTTGGAGCCTGCAAGATCACGGAACCAAGCCTCAATAGCGTTCTTGGACCTTGCTGTAACCTGCAAGTTAAATTAAGAGTACAGCTCTACCACACTTTTCGCACATGTCTCAATTGGCGTAAAGTTGATGGCAAAGTTGAAACGCGTGCCATGTTCACACACACTAAAGAGCATGACAGTGCACCATGACAAAAACCAAGCGCACTTGAAACCATGCACTCGATCTTGGCAGGTACACTTTGAAGTCTTTTATGTGAGAGAGAGGTCCCACAAATAAACATATGCACTCTTGGCAACTCTCAGCAATGTGAATGACTAAAGCAGGAACAAGAATGCAACATTTCAAGTCACGCTAAGAGGGAACAATCGCTGTACTTACCGGCCAAAAGTGCTCTTTGGCATTGACCTGCTGCTTCTTTTTGGCCGAATCTTGGATTGTATTGAGTTCTTGTTTTTTAGAAAGGATGCCACTGAAGAAGGCTCCGAACTGAAATGGAATTATAAAAAGCTAACGTATCAACCAGCAATACATCTCGACTAAAGTAAACACACCAGAACAATAACCATGGGTCTTTGATGGGTCTTTAATTTTGGCTCACACTCAAGAAAAAAGATGACTCACTTTTGCGGACGTGATGTTTGCATTTCTGGCAGAACCATACTGAAAAAAAAAATACATCGAGTGGATTGTTATAGGTAATGTGCCGGCGTAGTCGCAAATGTAAGATCATAGCTGCGGGCACTGTAAACAATCATGTATGTTGACCAAGAAGAACAGCAGCAGTGCGACTGCTGTTTTGTTTAGCCGCTTACCTCGTCGTTGATCTGAGGATTCGTAATAAACCCCTGTTTCACGTTTATAGCGGTGAGCTCGTCCTGAGGGAAAGAAACAGTAGAATTAGGCGAAACATGTATGCGCAGAAGGAAGCTTAACACACTCACGCGTAGCAACGTAAGGCGCTCGAACACAGTTCCCAGTAAAAAAATACAACGCAAGTAATTTTATCTTCGTATTTGCGCAGGCGTTCATGCGCCAATGCGAGGAGTAGTGCTTGGGGAAAACACTTCGCAACACGGCGAACAAGCGCACCAAAAGGACACCGGAGAACAGACATTAAGCGAGTCCTCCTGGCCCATTGACTGATAGCGATAGGAGCTTAGGATCACCTCTTTTTGTTTCGGGTCCTGCGGATAAACGTCAGGAGGTCCCAATCGTGGCTTTTTTAAGTGCCTCTTCTCGTACAGCCACGAAGGGGCGGCCATCATTGTGCGGTTAACCGCCGGTTTGCAAAAAGCGCCGACAGGTGTCTGTTGCTGTCAAAGTAAAGAAACAGCCACAGAAGGAAGCTCAAAATGTTTGTCTTGAGTGCGCCTTTAATCACCCTATTTTTGAATAATTTTATAAAATTTTTTTGTGTGATAAATATAAATGTATTGTGAAAGTGGTTTTAGTTACATTAAGAAACTATAAATCCCCACCGCACATCTGCCTTTGTGGCGCAATCGGCTAGCGCGTTCGGCTGTTAACCGAAAGGTTGGAGGTTCGAGCCCTCCCAGAGGCGGTATTTTTTTTAACCATAGTTGACCTTATGAAGCCCGTGCTCCCAATGTCAATCGATAGCATTAATGTTCGCTTATGAAGACGCTTTTCGTGCGCTGGTCAAAACGAAGAGTTTTGAATAAAGGATAACACCTGCGTCAAACGATCATTTTTGATCGCGATCGGTACTAATTCAGATCGAATTTCTTGTTCGTGATTGGCTTCTTTATGCTGGCAGCAAAATGTAACCAGTCAGTGTTCAGCAGTTGTATGATCAGCATCACGTATAAGTTAACGCGATGCTGATAACGAGATGCTGATAACGATAACGAGATAACCACTGTAAGTTGAAATGAACTGCAGGATATCGCATTCAATTTTGCTGGTCGATGCCTTACCAAAGTTGACAAAAAAGTATGCGCAGCTTCAACTGACTTAGCATCGCCAAGGCTGATCAAACAGCGCAACTGTTATCAGCCAACGACACAGGCGCTGCCTTTCCTCCGATTTTGTCAACGCTCGGTGCGCCCTTCCTCTAACTAGAGACACCCTCTGCTCCAGGACCACTGGCACATCCAATCGCGGTCAAGCTCTCTTTTTCACCACACCACCTGCTCCGCAACCGCATTAGTTCGTCTTCCTTTCCTCAGACTCGCTTGCTGGATTGCGTACCGAACGGCCCCCGCGATTCCCGCGCCAGCGCAGCTCTGGCCGACTGGTTCGCCCTCGCCCTCTCCTGACGCCGTGAAGCTCTCGCTGAGTGGTGCCCCGTCCTCGGATTCCTTCGACCGTGCCCCAGTCCGTCTCTTCTCTCCATCTTTACTTCTCACTCTATTCTTTTAATCCCTCCTTATCCCCTTCCCTCGTGAGCTACTGCTGAGGTGTCGCACTTGCAGACAGTTGCAGGGCTCACTTTTCTCTTCTTTTCTTCTATTTAAAAAGCACTCCTCCCCTCCTTCCTCCTCTTTAACCAGATTCACCCTCTCCACGTCACCACCTTTCTCTAACAGGCTCAACTCGCTGCACTAGGCTGCTTCTCACCCACTTAGCTTTACCCGTGTTCTCCCTTCGTGAGGCTACGCTCTCTCTTTAGGCACTGCGCCGTGCTCCCGACCGGGTTGCAGAAATTAGGTGCCTTTTCTCATCTTCTAACCACTACCACCACCACGCTCCTCAGCTTGCTCTATCAAGTGCTGACGATGATCCCCAGGGATTTTCGTCGGCTATTACAGCTCGCCAACTGAAAATCCAATGGTGACGAAAGATGAACTGGCACCTCTTGCCATTCTCTCATTCTAGCGCTCTTTCCTTCAAGTTTGGTTAAGTTAGAAACTTCATATATACCCCTGGGCTGCCGTGGTATATGAATCATTAACAGAGTTACAGCGCTCAGCTGTTTACGTAAAATATGACGTCGTTCCGGATGGCTGCAGTGGTCATTTCTTCAATGAAGGTGAAATGCTAGAGGTTTGTGTACTATGTAATGTCAGTGCCACATTAAAGAGACCAAGTAATTGAAATTATCTGGAGCCCTCCGCTACAGATGTATTTATAATCACATCTTGGTCTCTACATTTATACATCCTACGCGAAGTAGATAATCGTGCAAGCTTATTCCAGACTCCTAAAAGTTGAAGACAGTTGACACTGTCAATGAAAATGACCAATCTCTTCGAAATTTAAGGCTTGTAAAACATGAGCTCAGACTTCAGTTTTATCATCTTGACAAAAACCAGCAACAGAAAGTTACTTAAATATTCTACTTTGTTACCATAGAATCCTGAGCAAGCAACGCCCTCCTTTTTTCGAGAGATTTGAAATATGTGCCAATGACAGAACAAGCATTCTCCCCATTCCTTCCCGTAACTTTTACTGTTTCATAACAGTCCTTGAAACAGTGAATGCATGTATATTCAGTAGGTACTTCATTACAGCATGGGCATGTATTTTTTAACTCTTAGTGGTTTTTTGTCCGCCATCTGATCTGCAACTGAGTAGAAGCCGCCCTCGCATCAAAATCTTGTAGGATTATCTTTCACCATAGGGGTAACACTGGCTTGAGATTTTGAAGTAGGATGAAGGTTTTGGACACAAATAAAACATTTTCTATTTATTGCAAGAAGCCTCTACCACTCCAGTCTCCTAGTATAGTCTTATTTGGTGCTAAAAGCAGCATTGTTGTGCCTTGCAGATATGATTCACACCTACACTCGTCAGTGTATGGGGAATTGTGAATAGTCTTTTACTGGATCTGCAGTGCTCTTGAAGTTCGATATTCAGACAATGGCCTGTCTGCTTAATGCACTTTTATCTACATGAAAAAGGAATGTGGTAAACAGCACTACAGGCACAAGGAGTTGAGCTTACGCAATGTCTAGTGGTACACAGAGCTTATTTTGGCATCCGTTCCCTGCAGACACTTCTTCAGAGCTGGATTAATAGTGCCTAGCTTGTTCTTAGCCATGAATGCGACATCAACATTCTGTTTGACATTTTTTTTTTTACATTTCAAGTCTAAATTCATTTTTTTTATGTCCACTCAGGCACTCCATGTTAGATGTATAATGCCTGTGAGTCATTAAGGCACCTTGAGCATATCCACTTTTTTGCCAATGGCAACTAGCAGCAAGAAAAATGGGCATAGCCATACACAAAAGCAGGGGGGGGGGGGTGTCAACCACCACCCCTACTCACCAAAAGGGAGCAGGAGTTCTGTTCTATGCCTTTACCCAGCCCTACTTCCAAGTCTTTCATGTGCTAGTGGCATCCAAGAACCTCAGATGTTGCATTCATTGAACCGTTTACTTCTCGCCTTTATCACAGATAGCTAGGGACTTCCAGCAAGCCTTTGCGAGAGGAAGTCATTGTTCCATTTTCACTTTTGCACTCAATGCCAAGATTTTTTTTATGACGACCAAAAGAAAATGCTGCAATAAAACTCTTGCCCCCCCCCCCCCCCCTAATGAACCCTGCATACACTTATGCAGAAGGGAACAGCCCCATCACAGCTATTTTCTGCCTAAATTTAGCTTTACGGCAGTTCTCAAGGCTACATAAATATCGAAGTGCCCCTTTGGCATCCATGTTCACTATATACTATTGTCTTCTCAATCCAGAATGCTCATCATATGTAAAGAGCTTGAGTAACATTCATCTATTTGGCAGAGCTTTGCAGAACCCCAAAAACCATCAAATAACCTGCAAAATTTATGCAAAAATTTGCATAATATGGATGTATACCATCCATTGCTACATAAATTTTCAATACATGCAGGGGATCATTAAAATAAGCTAGCAGTCATTTTGAAAGTGCTCAGTTGTAAACAGGGGTGAAGCCTTGGTTGAGTGGAATTAACTAAGACAGAAAACTTGTGGAACATGAGTGTATAATATATATTTCCATTTTGCCACATTTCAACAGCCTAAAAGGAAGCAATAGTATAGTCAGTCAAAGATGCCAGCTTCAAAAAGTGCACTATGTGCAAGAGCTCAAAAGCACAGCTCTGCAACAAAACAAAACCTCAATTTGTAAAAACTATACATGTGTGAGTAGCAAAAATTGCCTTTACACAGCAACATCTCTTATGGCAAAAGATTCAGGTGATGTACTAGGGAAAGAAAAGGCGCTTCTGCTGCATGAAATACGCAAAAAGAGGAAATGCGCCTATGGAGCTAAAATGAGAACATTAGTCGCTCACTAGTGGTTTGGCACAAAAAGAAAACAGTTCACGCAAACAAATATGCTACACTCTAAAACAGCAAAAAAGAATGTTTCAAGGCCATCAATGAGCGTAGCAGCGCACTCAGCAGTATTGCACACTGATAAACTGGTGCCTCATGCCCTTTCCTTCCCTTTAAGTATGCCCCATCCCTGTTTTAATTTCCAGCATGCACCCCTCAGACAGGTATTATACGTTCACTTCTTCGAATGTTTCTTGGATTTCGCGGACGGTGGTGTTCTGGTGCTCGACGCCTGCTTGTCGCCAGCCTTCTTTTCTTGGTAAGTGCCCTCGGCGATGGTGGGTTCAACTGGTGCTGTCATGGCCGTATCCAGCTTTTTCTGGATATTCGCGAACGCATCCTCGCCCATGTAGTCAATCTGGCCACGCTCCCAGGCATACTGGCGTGCCTCTGAGCCTCCATAGACTGTCAGGTCTGTGTGAGTGCGCTGCAGCTCTTCTGCAGTCTTGATTGTCAGCTTGGACATCTCACCAGCAAGGCCGGCCTGAAAAGTGAGAGAACATTTTACTGGATTAGAAATTATAAGGCTAGTTGTTGCAGTGGCTCACTAACTTTCTGTACTCGCACAACAATAAACTGCTAGGGAATACTCATGAAACAGAGGTTATGCAAACCAGGTTTGCCTGCATGGTGAAGGCCATAATAAGCAGAGTTTATATGGCTGAAAGAACACAATGTCACAGCAATTCGCTTAAAGGCATCAGCTCATTTTAACACGTGCACAAGCTCTCATGCAAGCAAGCATTTTTAACTATACAGCTACAATGGGTTAGAAAACCAACTCGTCCAGCCCGTTACCCTTCTATCAAACATGTGCTTATTAACTGTTAAGAACAGGTAAAATCATTATGGGAACTGCCAGAATTAAGTATGCAATGCATTCAGTTATGCAACATAGCTGGGACAATCTGGACTATTATCCCTGCATTAATAATAATTTTATTGCAGTTACATTTGATACTTGCTCGCCATAATGTAGTTTTATA